AGAAAGTTTGAGGCTATTTACTACAGCCAGCGTGGGTACTGGAAAGGAGCTAGCGCCGTATATAAGCTGGCCAAAATGGCGCGAGTACCCCCAGACGGGGCCAAAGCGTGGCTTGAAAAACAAGCCCTGTGGCAGATCTATTTACAGGCACCACGCTACATGCCCCGAAGAAAGTTCGGCATTAACATACCCAATAGCGTCCACCAGGCCGACCTCCTGTTCCTACCCCATGACAAGAGGTACAAGTATGCCCTAAGTGGCCAGCCGCTACAAAGAAGCCGAACCCTCAACCGCGAAAGACTCGGCCCAGGTAGTTCGCGGATTCGAACGCATGTACAAACGCAGCCCGCTGACATGGCCCACCGAACTGCAAGTCGATCCCGGACGGGAGTTCATGGGTGCCATGTCACAACTGCTAGCCAAGCACGACGTCCAGGTCAGGCGTGGCCCTGCCGGGGCTCATCGCAGTCAAGCCATAGTTCAGAGATTCAATAGGACTTTGGCCGAGCGCTTATTTGGGCCTCAGTATGCGAGAGAGATGGCCAACCCGGGAAAACGATCGACGGAATGGGTAGCGCAGCTACCTCAAGTGGTGTCGGCTATCAACCACGAAACCACTCGGCTCACCGGCAAGAAACCAGCTGACGCTATCAAACTGAAATCAGTGGTGGCTGAGTTGGCTGCACCATCGCGTGGGAAGGAGAAACAGATACCCGATAGAGCCCTCGTGAGGTACCTCTACCAGCCGGGGGAACACGCAGGGGACACTCGGAAACGAACCACCGATCCGATATGGTTAGTCAAAACTTACAACATAGATAAAGTGGACATCAAAGCTGATGAGCCGAAATTGTACTACTTGAGAGATGGGCCAGGGAGAGGTTTCGTTAGAAAGGAATTATAAGTCATACCGTACAGCACAATGTTACCCCCCAAGCAAAATATTTAACATTTACCTTGTCGGGTAATCTTAATGGTATCCTGTCAACATGACATAGTGTCACGTGATCAGAAAAGTGCTAGTTCGCGGTCATAGTGACACAATAGTGTCACGTGTGGCCGGGAAGTTAACTGGGGATTCAAAAGTAGTATATACAATGGCGGCGAGGTCTAAGGGCCTGACAAAAGCTTTATTAATGAAATAAAGCTTTACAGCGACCTTTCTTGAAAGTGATCTCGGACTATCATTGTATATACTACTCTTGGAATAATATACAATGGTTATTATTATTTGGTAACTCCTTCAGTTGTCCCACATTAAATGCATTAAGTAAGTATTCACGGAAGGAAAAATAATTCCAGATAGTTAAAGCAGTTTAATAGCATACTAGGATAAATGGATGAATAATGGTCCATCACTGACTTCTCTTTAAATATACTAGGCACATAAAGAAACTGTGCATACAAAAATTTAAAATCTAAATTTATCAAACCTGTGTAGACACATAAGGATTTAAACTCAGAGATTAGTGACATGTATCCAACATGCATGCACATGCCACGTTCAGTGACATCAGTGGGTTCGTCCTTGAGACGTGCAATACGTTGTTGCACGTGCATTCCAGGAAAGAGAAACGGAGCAAATGAATGCCACACAATACTGTCTCTTTGCAAAGCTCAACCCCTGCCCTTGCGATCGTTCAAAAAATTAAACGGCTATTGAAACGCATAGCATGCCAAGGCTCACGTCTGCACAGCGTCATGAGGCCATTGGGATGGTCCGTGGGGAATGTCTCAACGACAAGTGCCTGCACATTTCCACTGCCACGGAACACCATTTCTGCACTGGTGAGGCGCTACCAGAACACAAATGACGTCATCGATGCGGCCCGCGTTCTGGACGTCGGCGTGTAAGAACGCCAAGACAGGACAGATGGATAAGGGTGACCCATCTTCGCCACAGGTTTCAGACTGCAGTGATGACTGCCCAAACCATCCCAGGATTTTGCCGTATCCACCCCAACACAGTTCGACAGCGTTTACGTCATCACGGGGATCAGACCACGACGTCCCGCCATACGTCCTATCCTGACACAACATCATTGACAAGCTCGCCCGAATGTGGTGTCGAAATCGTAATCCGCAGACCCTTGTTTTGGTGGAGAAATGTTGTTTTACAGATGAGTCCAGGTTTAACATTTCCCATAGTGATGGATGTCAACGTGCCTATAGACGCCATGGGGAGAACGTTATGCACAGGCCTGTGTCTTGGAGAGGAATGGCTTTGGTGGTGGTTCCGTGATGATTTGGGGTGGAATAACAGCACGCCAAAGAACTCCTTTGGTGATTGTTCAGGGCAACTTAACTGGTGTGGGCTACAGGGATCAGATTCTTCGACTGTGGCAATTCCTTTTCTGCAACGTCATGGCCCTGGGTTAACATTCCAACAGGACAATGCCCGCCCTCATACGGCAAGGGTTGCTATGGATTTCTTGCAACACCACAAAGTTGACTGCAAATTCACCGGATCTCTCCCCGATAGAGCATGTTTGGGACGAGATGGATCGACGTCTACGCCGTCTTCCTCATCCGCCAGATAACGTCCTTGACCTTGCAACAGAACTTGAGAGAATCTGGCGTGGCATCCCACAAGCCTTCCTTGCACGTTTGATAGGCTCTATGCGTCGTCGATGAGCTTGTGACATGGTCGTTTGACCCCTGTCCTGCTTGTGGACTCGTGACGTCATTCTGATTGACTTTTCAATTGATATTCTCCCGACTTGTTATGGTCTCATGATCCTTCCATTAAAGTTTAACTGGGATAATATTTTGACAATGCACAGTTTCTTTATGTGGCTAGTATAGTTGGCATCTGTGAAGTTAGTTGGTTCGGTGGTGCAAATTCTTGTTCGTGCTGCCGTCACTACGTTTTTGATAATCCACTTGTTGATATTTTGACATTACTTTTACTGTCACTTCTGATTCTGAGGTCATGTTGTTGATCATGTTCTGATGCCCTTTTGTTGACTGCATATAGTGTGTTCTTGAATGTCCAATCATAAATGACCACCTTCAGTTCTTATAATGACAGTGTTACTTCCTTTCTGATGACATAAAACGTTCGTTACCTATGTAACATTACTTTTCATGTCACTTGGGGTTCTGTTGTCTCCTGTAATCTAACTTGCAGGACCCTAGATCACCTTTAAATTTTATGGTTAGGCGGTGGCCTATGGTCCAACCTCCCCGGAAGACAAAGTTCCAAAAGGCTATATTACCATACAGTTTCTTTTGTTTGGAATACATGTATTTTCACTTAACAATAATGATGGAGTGGAGTCTTGGGGGAATGAGGCCATCAATAGTAGGTGAGGCCATAAATGTTATGGCCTCTGCAAATATACAGTTAAGGAGTAGCAATATGCACTTGGTATCAACAGCTGTTTGAGATGGTTGTCTTAAACCTACCTGCCACTGTATCCTTGGTTATGTCTTTTCTGATAATGATTTGAAAGAGATATGGCACTGTTTCATGTGTCTGATAATTATTTGAAAGAGACATGGCACTGTTTCATGCTTTTTCTCAGATTTCGAGTGTCCATGATGAAATGTTCCTGAGCGCTGATGGGAAACAGTATAATTCAGTTTCGCTCACAGCAGCAATAGTTTAATTAAAATGCCCAGGCGGTCAAAGTGCCAGTTTTTCTTGGCATCAACTTCTTTAGGGGTATCTGAAAATGTTAGGGCTCCAGTCTTGTGAATGTGTGAGGAAATATCAAATGTAAGTAGTTCTCACTCCCTGGCTGTTGTGGCCATTGCTAAGAGAAATCCACTAGCTTTCGTCAAAAGCTTGTAAACTACTTCAATTTAGCCTTCTACTACCATTGTAAAAGTTCACATTGGGAAGCTGGATGAGATTTTGATTCCACAGAATAGACCTTATAATTCAGTTCAGTACTGCATAAGTGCCAAAAGAGATACCATTGCATTGAAGTACAGAGGCAAGTAATGCTTTTCGGAAATTCTTGTTTACAGTAATATGAAGTAAAAGATTTGCAACTTTGGGTACAGTTACATCCATACCTTGTAAACCACTTCTTCTTCAGCAATCCATGATCATGATGCCACTTCTGAAGCAGATTCTCCATGCCATACTTTTTCAACATAACTGTTTTCAAGCTTATTCCAAATGAATGACCTTCAAAGTGACCTTACAATTAGTAATAGACATGTCATGTATTGAACTAGTTCTTCAAATTAAAAGGTTCCATACATGTTGATGAGACAGAGACTTTATCACAGATATTTCAAATTCCATTATTAAATACTCCAGTTATTGTGTACTGACTCTTGTTCCCACTGAGTGGAGTTTCAATTACATACAGCAGAAAGAGATTCCACAAGTGTACAGGAGACAAATCAGGTAATTCACCTCCAACATTCAGTGTATGGCTGCTAATAACAAATGCAGTGGCAGCTGAGCTCAGATTCAAAGGCTGGGTTTTGCTGGCCCAGTTGATGACCCCCTTGAGTCATAACATGTGCTTTAACCTGACCATTGTGAGTTAGATTAGTTTTATGCCGCTTTTAGCAATATTCCAGCAATATCACAGCAGGGAACACCAGAAATGGGCTTCAAACATTGTACCCATGTGGGGAATTGAACCTGCATCACCGGCATAATGAGCAAGCGCTTTAACCACTAGGCTACCGCATGGTCCAAACTGACCAGAATATATGTAAGTTTCTGCCATATTGGATTCATATGGTTTTCAGAATGTCCAGAAGAAACACATACATGTACTACAATACTTTTGTGGCTTTTTTGGGGTGTTTTGTGCATTTCTGGAATAAACACTGGACTTGTGTGTTTTCAGCTTGATTGGGATGCATTACTGTGCCACCATGTATAGTTTTGTGTTTACTGCTTGTCAAGAAACAACATGAAATACTGACATTTGTGAGTTACATCACAATGACAGATTGACAACAGAGTGAGAACAGTTACATTAAACTCACACATTCCTTTGGATGTGAGGTGAGCTAAAATTGAACATGAATCAAGACTTTTCTATAGTTTATTGATAATCTGATTGGAAATAATTGTAAATATCTTGAATACAATAAAAATTATAAAGCATGAATACAGATACACATTTGCCATGAAAATGCTTTATGAATCATGTTTATACATCATTAAATGAAAATTTATTTACACATAACTAAATGAATATACAAATATTTGGGTCAATACATCAGTTTCTCAAGTTCTGTTGAATCAAACTCCACGTTCCTTTCTTACCATTCAAGGGATGTTGTTTGAAAAGATGCATTTGTTTTCTGGTATACAAAACTTATTTTGGTGGTTGCCCAGCATGAAGAACAATATAAGAGAACAATATGGTGCCTTTTTAATTACAGTGGTATCACAACACAACAAGGTGGTCATGTATTTCTGTTTCTTTTGGCATAACAAAATGCAGTAATGCTTCATCTGGAGACCTTCCAGGCATATTGGTAAATCTTGAATCGGAGACTTTGATGCCTGTGGTGGTTGTGCTCAGCACTGAGCATCTGGTGGTGTTATAGTGAAGAAGTACATCAGCATCAACACAATGTAGATGAGTACGACTATGGAACCTGAAACAAGACACATACACAACTGTCAATTTGACACACATGCAGCTTCCAAACGGATTTTTTTTAAACAAGAACTCTTTATCATGTTGCATATATAACTCTCGCTGAGCTCCATACCTCAATCTCCTACATATACTGTTCGATTCAGCAAGTTAACTTTGCTTTGAAACAAGAATACATAAAATCTCATGCCATATTTCTGCATGAGTTATGAACATGACACTCTCTCTCTCTCTCTGTACATGCGTGCGTGCGTGTGGCGTGCATGCGTGCATACATACTTGGTTGCATATATACCTATACAGTATAGACTTGAATTGCTACTTAAGGTTTATCTAAACTGACTCCACTTACTGTTTGGTTTTCATGAATTAATCGGAAGTTTTGGGAAAACAAACAACCTTAAACATTAAACTAAAAACTTCATATTTATAACATATGTCGACCTCCTTATCAGCCATCCCAACCAGTTGTACAGTAAACAGTACCTCCAGCAAATCACATTAGACACAGTGTGAATCATCAAATCTTTCCAATCACTACATTCTTTAGATGCAGTTAGATTGTGGAGTGTGACAGACAACTCCGTCATGTAATTGAGGTAGCATTTTAAGAATTACACACTGATTATAACTACTCCTTGAAATGCACTACCTCTATTACATCATAGCCAGAATACACCAGTGTGATTGAAGGTATCTAGCATAAAGTACTCCAGGATAGCTGAAAGCTGATAATATTATCAACAGAATTATTCTGAAAATGCATAGGATGTTGATAGTTTTCTGCGTAAATACCATGATACTTGGTATCATACATGACATCACTTCGACCTTATGATGTCAACTGTGATTCTTGTAACATCACATCTGGTTGTGATGACATCACTTCTGTATCTAAGAGAGAGCTCCATCTGGTTTCATTAGCATCACCTGCATCAACCTGATGTGAGATCCTTCTATGACATCACATCTGGTTGCTTTGACATCATACATGGTTTTATTGATGTCTAATGAACTGCTATGTTCATGTGATCCGAACACCTTCCCCTTGGCCAGTGGGCTGCAATAGGGTGTCATAGATATCAGAAGAGGATGGTCTCCAAGACTATGCCACCCCATCAGAGGGAGCCCAAGAAAATAAAATAAAAAGGCATCTTGATTATTATTTTTGTGGGTCAGTTGTGGCTGCCAGAATAGAGGTCAAGGAGGATAAACATGAGCAAACATCCAGTCTCAACTCTTTGACAGGGTGTCCACATGGGGAGCCTGCATGTCTGATACCTCACTGACATATCCATGGAACTTGTGGTTGAAACCACAAACATGTTGAAATGAAGAGTGGCCAAATTCTTCTTTATCCACTTGAAGACTTGAGAATGTACAGGCCACTCCATGGACTCAATTTTGTTGCCCAAATAGTGGGCAAATATGTCTAGATTCCTCTCTTTAAATAACATGCATACAATCTGCAGTTGACCAAGTCATATAAACTCAATTTGTTCTCTTCCATCAAACTCTGTAAGTTCATGCTCCCCTGTTGTTGTAGATATGCTATACTACTACCAGTGTTGTCTGCAGCAACTAGTTTTGGTGATCAACACAGGTATGTATTGGGTGGAAAATTGCAAGGAGATCCATACAATAGGTATCTATCCTTATTCTCTGGACAGCTCTATCCATGTGACCCCTGAAACACTCTCTGGATTCATCTATGTAGAGATGGTGATGTGGAGGAATGCATCAAGAAAGGTCATAACATCCTCCAATTCAATTTGACCAACTTATCTGGTGATGGTCTTACCTCGGCATACATTTTGATGGATTTGTTTCAACTAAATGTGAGGACTGGGAAATGTGTCCTTAACCCATACATGGCATCCACCACTGAAAACATCAGAAGGGTTGGACAGGTGTTTCAAGTAACGATCCTTCAGGGTCTGTGAAAACCCAAACTTAACTGGAACCTAGCTCCAATGCACACAAGTTATTGCATGGGACAAAACTCCAACTTGGTTGGATGAAGTAGACACCAGCAACATCAGTAGCGATATCAGTAAGATCATATTTTGTTGGAGCTGTGCTTGTTGGAGAGGAAATCATTGATATAGCTGGAGTACCTAGCAATTGGTAAACCTTCCCAGATCATCCTATCTTTAAATGTTAAAATTACCTAAGATAGGATCCTTGCCCTCTGAATTTCAGATATACTGAACACAAGAGGGTCATGGTTCATCCTAGGCTGGATATTCCCTCCACGATGTCAGATATACTGGATATTGGAGGGGGATCATTCGGCCCCGGCCAGCTGATTCAAGGTTTACTGAACATGAGGGTGGGAGGGTTGAACATGGGCCAGATCTTCTCTCCATACTGAATTTCAGATTTACTGAACATAAGGGAATGCAAATTTGATATTTCCAGGTTTATGTGGATCATGAATGCAAGTGAAAATAGAAAGGAAGCCAATAATAATATTTCAAATTCCAGTGTGTTGGTGTGATGAATGAGGAGAGTTGTTCACTTGATTCATAACAGTGTTAGTAGCTACACTGAAACATTGCTCATATTACTATATTAAAGAAGTTGCATATCCATAGAACTCTCCTTGTTGTACTTTGAGGACAAATCAAGTCTTTTTGTTACAAAATATAAATTAAGATTTTCCAAAATTGGAAGCTAAGTTAGAATTAAATTAACTAAAATTAAGTAAGTCAGATCTTTCCCTAATGTTGTATGTTACCTGCAGTAACTTGTTTGTAACAATATATAAATATTACTAATATGTTGGGAAAAGCTCAGCTTGCCTTCCTGATACATTTGGACCCCCAATAAAATCTTACGTCATTTAATTCAAATTGTTTGATATCAAGTTTGACAAATTATGAGGATTTATTTGGCATGGTTTTCATACAGGGTGATAAAATAATACTAATGTATTTTAGTACACATAAACAATATAGCATGAGTACTGCTAATTAACCATTTCATTAAATACTTTAGATAGTGACTTAGTTAAATACTACTTTATAGCATTAAGATGTGTTTGATCCAGGGCTGTGTAACTTGTATAACAAGCGAACCACATCCAGCAGGGTTTTACGCGATACGAACAAATGTAGAGAAAAAAATTCACTGTGTCCTGAGATATGTTCACTTTTATGCATCATACCAACAACACATCTATGACTTTGCTTAGTGTTTGGTTGATTTTGGGGGGCAGTTACGTGCATCATTTCATCCACCAGTCCACATGACCAATGAAGGCTCCAGGCTCTTAAAGGTCACATGCAACCAAAAATCAAACATAATTAAAACACAATTATCACTTATTCGCGACATATAATATACATTGCTGGTTATGAAAAACATATAAACAAAATTATAAGCGTACAATCGCGCAAATCAAAAGTGCAAAATTGTGTACTTCGGTTTACTTCCCAAGAAACGAAGCAGCCGGGATACCAACCCAGTCAGAGCGGGTGGGTGTGCACTCAAGTGTAACGGCTGGTTCATTTGCAGATGCCCTCACGGCTTATTGTGTGTGTATATGTAGAGATGTTGGGTTTTGTAAATACATGCTCATTTTTTGTGTATAACATTTTGCAATCAACAGACATCATAACATGTCATGTGTTCAAGTATCACACCTGCCTGTCTGTGTAATTACATAATGTGACAGAGACCGAACTCGGGCCATAAATCAATGCATTTTGTTTATGGTGTATAGCCTGATTGGTGTTAAGTTCAAATTGCATGTGGTCAGTGATAGCAGATGTGTATTGAATATTGTCATTAGCAGACAGGCAGGCAGACACACAGATGTCAATAAAACAAAACATTGAGTTTTGTCTATGACAACGACATATCTATATCACAGTTAGAAATTCTGTCAACGCTAAATAATGACGCTTGCTTTTAAGCATCGAACTGAGAAAGTGACTCGGTAAGAAGAACGGTGGTGAAATTATATAAACAGTTAATTTACTGTCATAACATATAAAAGCTCGCTACCTGTGAGATATCAACAAAACATTAGAAAAATAGCTCACACCAAAGCCTTCACCGAGTATTCACGGACAACCCGCTAAGTTGCGCTGAACCTATTTCACTCATGCGACGCTATGAGCGCAGCCCAGCTGTTGAAACCCGTTTTCCCAGAAAAGTCTGGGGAAAATTAGTGAAACGCTTTGAACTCCGATTTCGCGTTTTTTTTCATCAGCGTTATTTTTCAACTTTATAAGTTGAATTTGCATTTTGACGATTTGTTTCGGTATGTCCATACCGAAAGGTATCAGAATCTGCAAAGTTGTGTTTTACGTTGCATGTGACCTTTAAGAATTATAAAAATGTACAGTACTCCACACTGGTACTTCACAGGGCCTTCACATTGCCTGCAAGGAGCCCTAAAACTTAACTAAACCTGCAGAGGTTTCCAATTCTTTGAAGAGAGTCGTCCTTGGGGTACATATATGCATTTTCTGCGGCTGAAAATGTCCTGTGACAGTTGTATCAATGTTTTAATAACAATATTGTACAATAAATAAAATCTTTTTTATCTATTATACGGCCCCCACCACGTGGAGTTACCTCCCTGCTACGCATGCGCAGCCAACCAGGTAAGCATCTAGGCCCGTATCATCATTCCTTCTGCTGAATAAATCAGTGAACAGAATTGCGGGGAGGTGGACGGCCCTACCCCAAGGACGACTCTCTTCAAAGAATTGGAAACCTCTGCAGGTTTAGTTATTTAGAATTCTTTTTCAGAGAGATCGTCCTTGGGGTACATATATGCATAAACTCAGACTCCCTAAGACCGGAGGCCAGGGAGGAGGGAATTCTGTCAAAATACACATGAATAGCGATCGTTAGGAATAATGTAACAGATGCCACAACACTCACCTGTCACGTGTCCCGGAGCTTCCGCGAGAGGCATTATGGGAGGGTAACCGACAGGGAGGATAAGTACTTAGAACCGACCTCGTAGGTTAAGCATAGCAATTCACACACAGTGCGAAAATAAACAACTCCGCCCACATCATGGTCTATTAGAGAGCACCGTAAGGGGGGAAAAACCAACTCACAACCGACCATAATCTCCGGAGACAATCGGAAGGAGTTAGATCACACAACAGCGGATATATCAATAAAACACAATTGAAAGCAGTGTCAACTAACCAGATAACCAAGACTCACTCGGTCAGGGTGGCAGGACACTGTCCACTGGAGAGAACAGAACGGCCAAAACGTGCACGATCACGTGAATGTGTATCGAGCTGATAGTGCCTGATAAAAGTGCTAGGCCTGCTCCAAATAGCGGCAGAGCATATCTCTTCAATGGGTAGTGCCGATGCAAAAGCTTTTGACGTGGCTACTGCCCTGACCGAGTGAGCCTTCAACCCCACAGTGGGAGGCTTGCCTTTAGCCTGATAAGCAGTACAAATGACCGAAACAAGCCAGCGAGACAGGGTCTGTTTGATCGCCGGCACCCCAGCCTTCCCGCCACCGAACCAGCAGAACAGATGGGTACCCGTATGGATCCCCTGTGTTCGTTGGATATAGACCTTGAGAGTCTTTCGGGACATCCAACGGGTGAGTGCTTGTTGCAGAGGTCCCCAATGTGGAAGGCTGGGTAAGAGTAGGAAGTTCGATTGGAGCTGTCACATGGAAAGCGTGATCGACCCTCGGGCGGTAAGTATCCGGGAGGCGAATACTGACACGATCTGGATGGAACACATTCAGCACCGATCTGCCGACATAGCATGTAAGTCGCCAACCCTACGCCCAGATGTTACCGCCACCAGAAATACAGCCTTCCATGTTAACAACTGAATGGAAATAGCCGATAGACGTGAGAACGTAGGACTTGACAGCAAATCTAGCACAATTGACAAATCCCAAGGTGGGCTGGTTCGCCTGACAGCAGGTCGAACTCGATCCACGCCAGCTAAAAAGCGCTGCATAAGAGGGTAGGCCCCAGAAGAGCACAATGGACAGGGGTGTGAAAAGTGGAAATAATGGTGGAGTAGCCACGAATGGTCAAAGCCTGGCAAGCCTTCTTCCACACGAGCTTGCAAAAACTCCAATACTCGGACTAAATCCGCAGAAAAGGGATCTGCAATCCCCTTATCTGAACACCAGCGCGCATAGCGGGACCACCTATCCTCATACTGACCGTTTGTCGAATCCCGCCAGAATTGTGTCTGCAACTGCTGCAGGAATTCCGCATGCTTCGAGGCGAGACCTGACAGAGGCCAAGCCACCCACTGAATCCTTGGATTGGGGTATGGCGCGGGGTATGGTGGGAATGTCCGGTCGCAAAGGAAAACCAGCTCTGTGACGGCCATAGCGGTGCCAGTAGCACAAGAGCCAGGCTGGCTGGGTGGACAGCTGGGAGAGGACCCGGGGAATGAGTGGTAGTGGCGGGAACGCCCAGAACACTTTGCCCGTCCAATCCAGCAGGAAGGCGTTGGAAGCCAACGTCCTCTGGTCCGGTATTTGAGAGCAGAACACGGGTATCTGATTCGTCCCGCCGGACGCAAACAGATCCACCTGGAACGATCCGTACAACTGGGAGATAACTCTGAATATCTGCCGGTTGAGCATCCACTCGTGCGGGGCCAAGGATCCGGCGAGAGAGAGCGTCTGCTCACACGTTCTCCAGCCCCGGGAGATAAACAGGAAGCACCTGACAGTCGCACTGGCCGCACCAGAGGAGAAATTCCCACGTCTCCCGAAGGAGCACTAGGGACACCGTGCCGCCTTGCTTCAGGATGTACTTCATGGCCGTACGGTTGTCCAACTGAAGACGAACCACCTGGCCCTGAACATGCTCCCGGAAGCGCTCGAAAACCAACCGTACAGCTCTCAGTTCCAAGACGTTGATGTGAAGGCGGGCTTCGGCTTCGGACCAGAGTCAGGACACCGACAGACTGCCCAGAACACCCCCCTAGGCCTTGAGGGACGCATCGGTTTGAACTGTAAGAGCTGGCGTCGGGTTTTCCAAAGGGATCCCCTTGGAGAGATTCCCGACATTGGTCCACCACTGAAGGTGAGGAGACAACGCCTGAAAGCAAACACGCAAGCATGTAGCTAACAGCGGAACCAGCAGCATAAATATACACGTACAAAACATGAAAAATTACGTGAATGCGACCACGGGAAGAAATACTTGGTTAATAACGCAATATGACAACCATGTGGCACGCTAAACTTCCCCCCATGGAAAAGCAACACGTGCGTAAACCACGGGAAAGCTAGCGTAAAGTTTAATACAAAGTCACATTAATGAGAAATAACAGACTGCAAAAGTCTTATAAAACTGTTCAGTCAAGAACAAAGAAAGACCATACATACAGTTGAAGTCTCAGACATTATTCTTTATCTCACAAGAGAGGTATTCAGCAAGGCAACTCTAAACCACGTGTGAATGGTTGAGTGACAGCAGAAGGAATGATGATACAGGCCTAGGTGCTTACCTGGTTGGCTGCGCATGCATGGTGGGGGCCGGATAATAGATAAAAAATATTCTATTTATTGTACAATATTTTTATTAAAACATATGATACAACTGTCACAGGACATTTTCAGCCGCAGAAAATGCATATATGTACTCCAAGGACGATCTCTCTGAAAAAGAATAATAATTGGGGGTCCCTGGGATCCCATTGTTTGTGAGTCGAGGTAAAACCCTGCTCCAGTACCCAACGGGTGAATGTGATGAACTGCCAATTGCTGGTGTAAATGTTCCCAAACATGTCATTGGGTTGGTTGCAAGTTGAAATCCAGCAGACAATAATCTTGGTACAGAGACAAAGCCAAGTCGGTGTTATTTGTTGATGGTAGTGTTCCCCTTGTAAGTGAGAACCAATACCCTCTCCTGCCTCAAAGGACAGGCACACCATCCCCTCCACAGTGATGCCAGGTGGTCGCATAATGGTTGTCTGAGTGGAGAGGGCTTGACAAACTATGTTGGGCATGAAAGAATCTTGAACTTAAGCATTATGTCAGCACTTTAGCTTCTGAGAGTTTTGAAGCATGGTAAAAGGATGCTTGTAGGCTGATGTACGCAATTTGGAGATGGAAGGATATGCAAATTTGTGCAGAGAGGGGATCTTCGTGCATCCGTAGGATGCTCTTCAAGGCAAAGTGAGCAAAGCTAACTTCATCAAAAGTCATTGCTAATGTCATATACATATGATTCTTGGAGAGGTTGGGAGGACATGGTGGACCCCTGCTGTATCTAGGAGTATTTAGTGTGATGATAGAATTCTGGAAATATATATTTGTTGTGTATTAGAAATTTGATTTTGAATCTCCTCAACTAATGCAAGTGTCATCATTGGAAATGATAGATAAAAACAGGAATGTCAGTTTCTTGAAACCAGTTGTTTCTCTGTAGATGAAAATTACATGGCAAGGAAATGCCCTGTAAGAGAATTTTTAGTCAAACGGCAAAGGTCATATCAAGGTCAAAAAGAAATATTGTGTAACATGAATAAAGGGTAATGCAATGTTACAAAATGTCTCCATAGTGGCCATATTGAAACTATATTGAAATAATTAGAGCAAACTTGAAATACACAATTTGGAGAATTGTCAACTTAAAATCTTGTTTCATAAGTTCATTATATGATATGAGCAGAGAAAAGGGGGTTATACAAATTGAAGTCATTGGTTTCACCAAAGTGGTAAATATCTATGATCTACATATCTTTGGGCTTCCTTCCTACATCAGAAAGCGGCTATACAACAGCTGTTTAAAGCAATGAACTCACTATCGAAGTTAATCCAAATATGGTCAGTAAAATGTAAGATGATCAGATTGGTCTGGTAAGAAACATTTTGAGAATCATTGCATGATAACAATTTGCTATGTCTGCAAAATAGAAAGTAACTTCTAAAACAGTATTGGTAAAATCACGGAAGCAAGCTGGGTCACCAGTTACAAGTATTTTAAAGGAGTAACCAACTTTTGTACGAGTAACATTGTTCCCCGGGATATCTTACCTTGGAAATAGTCACTTTTACCATCTTGGAATGTGTAGTTTATGACAATCACTGAAAATATCACAGCGAACAGGTGAACATCTTGGAAGATCAACACGAAACCGAGAGGCTGTAAAACAATTAAGAACATTGGTTCAATATAGGGAGTTAGAGAGTGAACAGTATGTACATTCAGAGATTTCTTTCATGTTTGTGTATGAAGCAGGAAAAGTGTACAGACATTTAGATATATCGTGTTTAATTGTGTGTGATACAGGAAGAGAATAACTAAAAGAATTGCATGGACATTTAGATATTGTGTTTAACTGTGTGTATGACACAGGAAGAGAGTACCTCAGAGAAATGCATCGACATTTAGATATTGTGTTTAACTGTGTGTATGACACAGGAAGAGTACCTCAGAGAAATGCATGGATATTTAGATATTGTGTTTAACTGTGTGTATGACACAGAAAGAGAGTACCTCAGAGAAATGCATGGATATTTAGATATCGTGTTTAATTGTGAGTATGATACAGGAAGAGAGTACCTCAGATAAATGCATGGACATTTAGAGATTGTGTTCACCTGTGTGTGTCTGTGTATATCTGAATAAAAGAGGGAAAGAAATACTGTATGGACATTTCGAGAGGGTGTTCACCTTTGAGTGTGTGACACCAGAAGACTGACTAACTTAATGCTGAGACTGTGTTTACCTCTTTGAGTGCATGGGCATGTGTCTGTGTCTGTATGTATCAGACTTACAAAAGAGTAAATGAAATAGTGTTGAAATGTTTGTATGTATTGATACAACAACGTTTTGTGCACACTGTGTCCATTAAGTTACTTACATATATGAGATTGATGAGAACCAGTACAGGCACCTGTACCAAACACACTTGAATTGCTGTGGAACTGCCAATTTCTATCCTGAATAAACAAAATTAAGATAACATGATATAAACAAACATACCATCTACTTCTTGGTAATATATTTCTAAATGCCATCAAAAGTTCTACATACATCTCATACCATTACCTATGGAGCAGTATGTTATAACTGTACAGCAGTGTCACATGGGTTACAGATGAATAACAGATGGCCCAGTCATCGGAGTCTGTGCAGAGCTGGGTCAATACGGTAGAAACATACTATACTTCCATAGTACTTGCAACAACCAAACAGAAGCACTACCTCCAGATGGCCCCAGAAATCATTACATATGATCATGCATTAAATGTCCTATGGCAGTCATTTTAGGAAAAATACATACTACTTCATACTGTAATCTGACTTAAGTTGCTTGCCTTTAGCCATGCCAAGCCAAGCCAATGAGGACCCTCAATACTTTCCTACTCTGATAAAGCTGAGAAAGTAATGGCAGCACTTTATGATAGTAACACATGAATTTATGGTTGAATGACATTACTTCTAGCTACATCTAGCTACAGAACGTTCCATGCTTCAAGCTACTTCACTATGAACATGATCCTCAAAAGAAAGATACATTAATAAGGTCACTTCCTGTTGGGGAAAACATGTGCCCCATGCATTACATTTTGAAAGAGAAGGTCCCGATGTCCATAAAGACAGTGTTATTGCACAGGTTGCTGTCCATAATGACATTCAAATATCATCTACCCATATAGTGAGGAAAAGCTAAGTAATAATGCATGGTGATTTGAATGAAATGTCAACAAAAGTAGAAACTAACTTGCCAATTCCAGAACTGATGAGCAAAAGCTTCATTTGGAGAAAAAAGAATTGGGGGCACCAAAATACACTGTACCCTCTTTGAATTGCTAAGTTATGTTATGGAGTTGATATCTTTCAGAATAGAATGTGAACACTCACCCTAAGTTGACATTGTTCTGCAGTGCAAACTGCACTCCATTGACAACCTCTGGTAACTCTGGAACCACTGCTAACATTGTCACTCCAACAAAATACTGCAATAGACACAACAGTATGTTTATCTTTCACTCTACCCACCTGTCTATCAATCCAGTTTTGAGCCAAATCAAATATACACTGCCAATAACATTTCTTCTGTTAGATGTTGTGGAAGATATATCATGATGTATTATGTAGTTTTGTACATGTATCAGCTTTTAAGTCATTTACAATTGTCACAAAATTTCAGTTTGAATTTTAAGGTATATTATTTGCTATCATTGAATAAATGAACACTTACTTTTTCATAATCAGGTTTGGGTATTTTGAAACAGACTGCACTCATATTCACAAGGAAGGTTCAATGGTTTGATGTTTTCTTAGTCATATTGCATGATTCAAATTCATTCACCAGGCTCATGAGCTGTCTAATTTGTTTAATATCTACATGATGTATCGTGACACGTTTTGAAGTAATTTTCATATTACAAACTCTATACGATCACTTCATGGACTGCTTAACAACTAAATCTTAACAGTATTACTCAGTTTACAAAAGTAAAAACATAACATGTCACAGCCATGCATCACTTGCTGTTGTCAACAGAAATGCATGCTTTACAAAAGTTATTGTCAGCACTGGCACCAAATGACTGAAACACACATAAAATATTGCGTGTTGGCCAGATGCAACAGGGAGTCTGATCAATAGTTAACTCCCTTTGTTGTAGCCTGAAACCTTTTACCAAAAACAATATCCAGGCAAGAAGGTTGTTGAGGTTGTCAATAATCTGTTGAATCTCATTTGCCACAAAAAGATGGCTAGATTCGACACCAACCTATGCACTGACCTCATTGATTGGTCATATCTGCTATGATCATTTCTGTTGTTCTTATGTACCTGTCCTCTAGTGCTACTTGGATAACCTTGATGAGCTGTAATCGTGCTCCAACACAGACAAAATCTGGAGTATGTACAAACTTGGACCTCTCCGGGTAAGTCAGGAATCCCAGGCCCCGGGTTCATGATCTTAGATCAAATTTTGGTGAGCACAATTTTGTCTTTAATTTTAAATATATAATGACCATAACAAAATCTTAACTAAGTCTAAGTCTAAAACTGTCATCATAACGATGTATGTACGTTATAGCATATTAGGGTAATCAGTTGTGGCAAGAGATGTCCAACAGTCATAAGTATATTTTGCTGTATACAGATTGAAGGTTAGAGCTATATTTACAGGCAAATTATTATCCCATTTCTATTTTGCATTAAATGTTCTTTGAAAGATGAAAGTGAATTTTGTCATTAGTCATTTTGCAATACTCAATCCATCATTCATATTTCTGCATTGACATTTGAAATTTCCAATTTCACTCAGATTTGAGATAATAGCCCTAGGTATGAATAAATCTAATAACTACTTGTACATTTTTTTTTAGGAATGCTCTGTGTGTACATGCATATATGTGTGTCTCTGTGTAAGTGTGTGTCTGTGCATGTGTACGAGTCTCTGTGTAAGTGTGTATCTGTGCATGTGTATGAGTCTCTGTGTAAGTGTAAGTCTGTGTCTGTGTACGAGTCTCTGTGTGTGTGTAAGTCTGTGTCTGTGTCAGCAAACAACATTCACCCTCCTAAAACATGCCACCTAGAGCAGATTATTTCATTGGTACATTGGGTATATATTTCCTAAGAATGCTACATATTGAATATATATCCAATATATTAATCAACAATTCTTTATTAAAGTACTGTCGGAAATGCTAGAAAAATGCTTTTTGACTTATATTTAAAATTCAGAGGTATTACAGTTACTTAAATAACAAATATCACTTCAAGAAACATCTACCTAATGTAGACCGAGGGAATAAATTTTGAGACATGCTCTAAAATGTGTTTTTACTGATGAAAATACCAAAAACTTAGAAAAATAAGGGGTAGTTGGACGTTATTTGAAACAAACATTAACTGCTTGTGTTATGTCATCAGCATGCACGGTATCGACAGGTGAAATTGACACCTGAGCACACGCTCGGGGCGAGGGTCATCTCAATAGATGTTTTCTGCAAAATGTTGAATATGTGTACGTTATAGTATAATGTATCAGTTATGTAAGGGATCATTTGTGTATGTGTGTTTGTTTTGAAATAAACATACGAATTACTGTACATTGGAAAGAATCCTATCACTTGTGTTATCTTATCGACTGATTGTAGAAATGTGCAACGTTTTAATAAATGTTTTGCATGTCAACAGTATATTTCATTGAAAAAATATGGATGTAATTCGGTCAGTTTAATCTAGTTGTGAACATAGGCCAAAGATTTAACGAAGTCACTGGTGTAGCTTCTTTAGAATATATATTTTTTCTTCTCATAAAGTTTGTAGACCGCCCGTCTAAGCACTCCCTTGTCAAAGTTGTCAAGGATGGTTTTACATCCCGGTTTTGCATTTGAGACGGTCCCTGTCTTGTCTGATTTGTTTACAATATTGTAAATTTGTTGGTAAGACATGCCAACAGCTCTACAAGTTCTGTAATAAACCCTTTCTAAACTAATGAAAGGTTTACCTCTGTCTTTTTTAAGCAGAAAAAAACTATAAACCTTTGCAACAATCGACTGCAAATCGTTGGCCATAGTGGACGCTGTGATAAAGATGTGCATGCATGACGGGAAACTTATTTATCAAGACTTAACATTTATATTAATATTTCTTCAATAAAGAAAACTATACTTTAGTAAAGTAACACAAACATTCAACATTTATTTGTTTAGGAAAAACGTTAATTCATATTTTTACACCACCTGTATCATTAGCATAAATGTAAAGACTATTTCAGATTTCTGTTGTTGAACTCTGAAAAAATCTTAAGTTGCTGTTTTGGTACAAAATTCTCTCCTGTAAACTGCCCTTTAAATGCATGGGAATGTTAAATCGATTGAAATAAAAATTAGGTAGACAATAGGCGAGTTGATATATTGACAACATAGTACATTTATCACCTTTATAACGATATTAAGGCTAAAAATCATTTTTCTAGCATTTCCGACAGTACTATAGTACTTAGTTCTTTGACTACAGAGTGTTCAATAACAGAGTATAGGTAACATGAAAAGGAAGTTGGAGATTTCCAATTTGGCAGTTGCAAACCATCAACTGTATCACTGCTCCGGAAAGCAGCATTTGTGCCAGAACGAACTGGAAGGTTATTGTCCTTGAAAAACTTACCTCTGATACCCCTGATGACTCTAAAAGTGGTTGTATATTGTTTGTGATGAGATCTGAACACAGTGCAATCAGTACAGCACATATGAGCAGAATAATGGTGCTCTTGATTCTGTTCCACTGGGGGGCTCCTTCACCTCCATGATTGGTGGATTTGAGCTCTTCTTCAAAAGCACCGTAGACATGTGAAGAATGAGTTTTGAGTGTGAAGAAAAGCCCCACAATGTAGGCAATGGGAAGGACTAGAGCACAGGAATAGACAAGAGGTTCAATGTGCTGCTGGTACAGACTCAGATCACCATTTAATCCAACCTGCAAATATATCACAATGATGAGAAAATGTTCACTAAATCACTCTCATTTCAGGGTAAAAACATTTTCAAAGATGGTTATACACTAACCTGAAACATAACTGTAGTTTATATGATTGGAAAAACTATATACACTTTCCTTTGGTTATAAGATTGGTGCTATCTTTTCTAGCAGTTGGTTTGCCTTATGCAAGAGTAATATTTTTCTAATTATAATATAATGAATGAAACAACCACAGTAAATGCTTGAACTACATTAGAGGCTAAACTATCAACTCTTCAAACAAACATGATGTTGAAGAAGAGTAGCTAAATGTAAATGCTGGTAGTAAGGGACAGCATTGCAATGAGATCAGAAGACACAAGAAAGGTTTGAAACAAGCAGACCCATCCCCACCTTTACTGAATGGACTAAAATTGTGCCTCAAGTTACCTCAATAACAGTTTTATGAGCACTTTTGTTGTCATAATGTTACTTCCAGATTGTTAAAACATATTATAAATGTAAAACAAAAAGGCCTATTAATTCTTGCTACTTTATAACAATATGTTGCAAGCAGTTACCTAGAGACAGTATGAGTGCATGCAAAAACAGAAGGCGCCCCTCCCCAGATCCCTAACACTTTAATGACATTACTTCCAGATGGGGAAAATGTTTGCATGTTGAATGCAGTAAAATGTTGAAAATAATTCTTTGCCTCTACATTTTAACTACCTTAATAACATGTTTTTAGTACTTTCAGTTTCCATAACATATCCAAACATCAGTACAGTGGAGTAAAGACAACTTCTGGGCAGTGATATAAATTCTGGTTTTGGAAACTACACATTTCTAATGCATGACAACATTTTAACCATATGTCAAGGACTGTAATGACCTTAAGAAGAAAGTTATACACACTTCTGGGTAAATATTTCCTATCACTTCTGACTGGAGAAAATACATGCAACATGTAGTATGACATTAAGAAAGTTCCATGCCTCCATACACTGGTTTATTAACAAAAACTCTATATCCACTTTCTAAATAAAACAAGCATTGTCACTAAGGTGACATAATCCCCCGCTGCAAATTATCAAATTAGAAAGTAATGAAAGTGAAGGTCGTAGTTAAAGATGAAGTTAAATGTCAACAAAAACTAACAAGATATCGTGCTCTGTAGTTGTTCAAACACACAAATATTTTCAAGACTCGAGTTGACCTTGACATAAATGTCACGGTGTATGAAATATGCAAAAATAGTTGCAAAGAAATTGCTTATCAAACTACATTCAAGTGAAGTCTTGAAAGTCTATGAAGAAAAATCCAGTGAACCGTTCTTGAGATATCTCACTGACAAGCTTAACAGGCAGGTTAACATGCTGAAATCTTCAAAGTGTCGCCGTGACCTTGAAAATTAAATGAAGATCACCAAACTCGACTAGCCTCTGCGCCTTCCCTAGGTAAAGCTTGGTGTCAAATATGAAGAAAATCCAGTAAACAGTTCTTGAAATATCTCGCTGACAAGTGTAAAACATTAAAGTCCCCCTTGTGACCTTGAATTGAAGGTCAAGGTCAGCAAACCTGACTGCAATCTTTCGCCTACTGTGATGAACCTTGGTACCAAATATGAAAAGAATCTAGTAAACGGTTCTTAAGATATTCCAATTCGTACATATGTACGTCCACACGGATGGACGGACGGAGCCTAATACTATATTCCCCACTTCGCGCAGCAGGGGATAATAACATGTTATATGCAAATGAAATGCATGTGTAATAATAAACACCTTCAACACATGCCTCTGGACACCTTAGAAAGAATGTCATAAGTACTTCTGTTTTCACATTGACTTTGACCCTCAGGTTCAGCCAAACTCATTCTTGATTAGTTTTTCTTGAAATATTGGTGTATGCTGCTACAAACATTAAATACAAATGAAAAGGGTTTGGTAGACAAGAAAGCTGATCTACCTTGCCAATGATCATTCTTTGATCGCAATGATGGTCACTCAGAAGCTACTAATTCACCTCACCTAAAGATGATACATACCAACATCCATGCCATTACAGAGGATGCTTCTTAAATTAACATATAATACATATCTGAGTGTATGACCTGGAGAGTGACTCACACTCTTTGTCAGATTCTTTGTGGAATTCAATGTAACAAAAAAACCACTGCACATGCTGCTCATTGGACGAAGGTGACAGCGATCAACACTGTTATCATAAGATTAAAATTTAATTGAAAACACGGTTTATGAATGAATTTCACAGCAACTTTGATGTTTCGAATAGGTCACTCCAAACCTTCAGCAATCCGGAGCCTGCCATGAGGATGGCAGGCTAAGTTTCAGTAAATCCGTCTGCGCTTCAGGCAGTCAACAGGAACAATTCAGGCCATGACCTTGACCCTCAACATGGCATCTTATTGTGCTAATTGATTTCCCTAAGATTTCATCTAACACAAGGTTCACTCACAACCCTTCAGACCTTGGCATATAGTAAATACTTCTTGATGATGAATAACAATTTGAAAGTGCTACAAAGCGGAGTATTGGTTATCATAAAATTATGAAAATACTACCTCTATGACACAACAATTGTGTTTTTGTGAACATCACTTCCATTTCTTATGGCCAGACAACAATCACAATGAATCCACTGTAGAACCATCTGGTGAACATCTCAAGATCTATCAAGTTTCCAATCATAAACAGAGCTACAGATAACTTTTGGGGTCATTGAGTTATGTACTCGCTTGTGTTCATCTCAATTGGGTATCCTAATTTTCCTTTGAGTAACCAAATAAAGTGTACCCACCTCACTCAAACTCAATTGGGTATTTTGCCATTTTCAATTAATTGTAAAACTATAATAAAGTTTGGTCAATAAATGTTTCTTTACGTCTTTGTTATTTATATTTGATCTGTAATATGAGAAACGATGCCAAGTTGTCTAGTGCATGTGCTGAAATAAAACCTCTCAATATACCTCAGTTATTTTATCTATCCTCAGTAACCTCCATCTGTAGCACATGGTTCTTCTTACTCCAAATCCTAGTAGGTTTGGTGACAGGAACTAATTCACCGGTACGCAAGCTAAGAATTGACATTTTGTGAGTAGAGTAAATTTTTAGAGTATTTACAAAAATGTAAGTGTACTTGTACACAACAGACTTAATAGGAATTGAGTTTTCACACAAATATTTGAGTAATTTACACAGATACGCAGCTTATCTGTACCTCTGTATACACTTAACTGACTTGCAAACAATGTGATCAAGGTTAACCTCTTATCATGATGTAGAGCTGAATTAACCAACAATTCAAACATATTAGATCTGTCATTGGAGGTTTCAAGATACGCACGTAAAAATGTAATTTTTCGGATAAAATTGATATTTTATACTTATTCTGACTCATAAGTTATTGCTTTATCTCCATTTTCTGCATAAAATGTCTTGGCATCTACAATCTGGGCAATGTCAGAGGAATTTAATTTCACATACAATCACAAAGCACTCTCCATCCATAAATCCTTCAAAAGTAGATTAATAAATATCCAAGAAATGAATAAATTTTAGCACATAGAGAAAATATGTTTTGCAAGGGCTCATTGCCTTGTGAATGAGTTCAGTATGTTTTGGGAATACGCTATCTGTATTTGGAGTGGTTCATAGCTGACAGTGACATGGACTGTCTGCTGAAAATCTAATATTCTAGTGTGAAGAGTCATTATACAGAAATGATGATCTAATGGAGGTAGTGTACTTCAAGGAATTATACATGATCAAAAGTAGCAGCAACGTAAGTTCAGACAAAATCTTTGAGCATCATGATTTACATTATGTTCCTGTACAGAGGATCATGTTGTGTTATTGTTAGCAATACCACCTCTTGACAGTGATGTAAGTGGTTGGGACGTGGGAGTGCGTTTATTCAAAATGAAAGACCTTCCAGAAAAATGTCTTTACAGACTGTGCTTAAAGTACCACTTCATAGGTACACTTTTAGCTCGTGTCAACAAGTAGCATTCACAGAATGTTAGGAGTCAGAACAATAAGAAAACATTTTTTGTGTTTACCATTCTGTCATATCATAGACACTGGGGAACATGAGAGTAACACGACAGGCACCTCTCTATAGGCCCAAGCATGAACATTTGATCAGGTGAAAGATATGTGACTTACCACGGACTGAGTACATGAAGTGCACTTGAAACCATATGTAAGATTAGTGTCGTTTGAGTTTAGAACAGAGCCATTCACAATGTCAACTTCTTTGATTTCCTGCTCACAGTCCTTACACTGCAGGTCCCCATACAGCTTTGAGAAAACCGTTGGTGCAAACACTCCTGAAAAATACAAAGCAACTGGAAATGTCAAATGTCACATTTGATGTAAGAAGATCATCAGTAGTAAGATAGACTAGGAAGCATCCATTCCCTCTCTATAGAGCTAACTTAAAGGGGCACTGATCTAGAGCAAGTCATGTTTCGTGCAAACGATCTAGTTAGTTCGTGTGGGCTCCCTCCAGGTGGTCAGTCCCTGCTCCCTCAACCAAGACGGACCGGAGCGTGGCAGATACGTCATTCTAGCCATGTTTATATGCATATACATATACCTAAGGACGTGTGTTAATTAATTTCTCCAACCTGAACTATCAAACAATGAGAACGGTAGATGCCCATCAGATGCTGTTATTTACAAATATCCCCGATAGTTCTAGTCTGATTGTAAGAAAGTATCCCAATAGTGTCATTTTTTTTTCAGATTTTCTCAAGCATGGATCGTATGATCACTAATCCAATTTGATCTTATTTCAGTGTTTTTTACTTCGATATTTAATCATGCCATGTAATAATGTGATATCTGCTGACCTATAATAATAGAAACACACATTTCATATATTTGAATCCGTAAACTAAATCATCATTCACTTCATGCTCAGTAAATTTATATCCGACATAATTAGTGGTAACATCACTTGGATTACCTGACAAAGGTTCCCCTTGAGCATTTCTGGTGACTGTGGTAAATACTCAACCTTATAAAATAGGTTCTGATGTTGCCAATATATTACATGTTATGTAATATGCACGTGGAAGCACAGCAAGAGAATTTTCATTTGAGTTAAAAGAAAAACATCACCAAAGGACTAACTGATAACACGTTGATTGATCAACTGAATACCGGTAACCTTTTTTTCCACTAAAAATGTCTAAACCTACAAATCAATGAGTGAGTGAATATGATTTTATGCCACTTTTAGCAATGTTCCAGCAATGTCATGGCAGGGGGACACCAGAAAAGGGCTTCCCACATCGTACCCATGTGGGGAATCGAACCCGGGTCTTCAGCGTGATGAGCGAACGCTTTAACCATAAGGCTACCCCACTGCCTCCTTACAAACCAAAATACCAGTAAGAGTAATTTTGACTAAATTGGTAAGCTTTAACAAATAAGTGTGAATGAATGAATCAATCATAAGTAACACCATGAAAAGGTCAAATATGCATAACATCCAATCAAATTCCATGCAGCTGATAAAGCACATTTTGTACAATTAAGTAGGTTTCTATTATAAAAAAATGAGTGCATGTACATATATGTAGCAGGGAATAAGCCATATACATTCTGCAGTTTGGGGGAACGTGTCAACATAGTTAAGAAGGTGGTACAAGAACTAATGTAAATCATGTATGTTAGTATTAGTGTACCGCTTTGAATTCACAAAATTTGTATTTTTTCAACAATGATAATTCTCCTAACACTAACCTGCATTTTATCTTGAAACTAGTTTCTGAGTCATCAAGTTTTAAAATTAAATTGAAATTGATGTCCAAATAGGCCTGTTGTTTTTCTTCCTTGTCTAAAAAAAATGTGATCTGCAAATGTCCTTCCGTGCCCAAGCTGATATATTAATCCTGATAGAAGTACAGATGGATCCCATTTCAAAAGAACGAAGAAAGTTGGTGAGTCTAGGATATTTTCCCTTGAGTTCTTGACTGGTGAGAACTGCTACAGCAGAGCGATACCCAAGTGCCATGTAACAGGCGCTGTTCCTTCTGTAGATGTAGGAGGCTACGACTGGAACAGATATAGCAGCATGCTAGTTGGCCATGCTAGTGCCACTAGGTACACTGTAATTCTGTGATTCCTCTATTTTACGGTTCTGTTTCCTCACTATCCTCCAAATAATGGTCAATATTGTGATCCGTAGAAAATTCGACCCTATCCATATGGTCTGTCTGAAGCTGTGTATTGGTCCACGCAGACCATGCCATCCCTGACTCTCGCGCAGTTCATGCTGTCTGTGCCTTCATTGCTATCCATTGCTACAAGCGGCGTAAAACCCAACTCACTCACTCATTGCTATCCTTACAATGACTGCTCTGATTGGCATCCGAGTCTCCTGCAGCCTGTGTGGTCTAGGTAGCCCATGCAGTCTGTAGAAAGCACACCATAAGATTGCCCTTTCTGATCCATAGAGACACTGCTGTCCGCGAGATCCCTGTCCTGGTCCAGAGCAAGATGCTCCTTAGGCAAAGTTATGGTGGCTGAAGGCATACTTGCCCGTGACTTTGGTTCCATCTGTAGCTGGAAGTGTAGCGTCAACTGCAAAACGTCTATCTTTTGAAAATCTGACATGAGATCCAAAAGTACTTGAATTAGGTCACCAAAGGGTTGAGTTTTGAAGATCATGTCTCCTCCGAGACATCTCTCATTTCAGTTGTAACACTGTTGATAAAGATCCACATCAGATGAGTCAGGGGGAATGAATTGATCCCCCCAAGTCTGACTGAATGTCAGAAAAAATCTCCATATTCCAGGGGTACCTTAGATGGAGTCATAGTCCATAGTTATTTCTGCATTTTCCTCTTTTGATACATCTTGATAGCCAAAACATATATCTCGAAGGAAGATGGAGTCAAAGACTGGCAGGCCTCACAACGGATTACAATGAATATGACGTACAAGCAGAGCATTTTCAGTGCTCGATGGGAGAGACCAAAATGAACTTCGATCCCTTAGATTTACCCATGATGAGAAAATTTTGAAATGAATTTGTAAACCCTTACTAATACAAAAAAGAATTATCAGAAAACATGAAACACATGTGCTCATATGTCCCACGGGACAAATTATGAGGTTTCCTGCACTTCAGGTAGGGGAGGTAACTCCTATGGATCATGCTTTTGGGGGACCACAAGAATGAAAAACAACATATTTGGTTGGACTTGATTATTTGGTTTTTAAACCTGTGAGCTATGATACAAGTGTCAGAAAAAGGCAATCAAGTGTTAGAGTGGCATATTCATAAGAATTAGGCGTATTAAGTTATGCAGAGTAAACTGTGTGGTGTACAACCTACCAGCAATAGATACAAAGAGTAAGGCTGCACTGACGCTTGCTGACTGAGGGTTGAATCTCTGCATCTGATATTTGATTCCTCCTACTATCATACACACTCCAGGAATGAAGAGAATGCTTGCGAGGATGGTACCTGAAAATATATACACACGTATGAACTATACAATCAAAAAGGCAATAAGATGCATTTGTCAAGGACAAGGTAATGGCATTGATTCATGTTTTAGTTTTGTATATGTTCTGTCTATCCCGGCTCCACAGAGCAAATTTGACGAGGTATGCTTCCACTCACCAGCAAGGGAGGACTTCACAAGCTCTTGAAAGCACTCTTTATTTGTGTCTTTGCCTTTCTTCAGAACTATCACAAACAAGATGAGCTCTACCATAGAGCCAAATGTTGCATTCAAAATGGCACCAATTGCAAAACTGCTCTGGGCAGAGATACTGAAACAAATCAACAATGACATCATGATAGCCACAAACTGAGACTGAGACATGCCTCTTCCACACACACCGCATAGTTTCCTATCCACATAAGAGTTGCAAAGTTTGCATCAATGCATATGTTATCAATGTTATAAAAAAAAACATGAAATAGCCTCAGCTTACATGTTACATGGAAAATATGTGCTCTGTGGTTTAACTGGCTCTGGTTGAGTTTGGGTGAGTGAAAGGATAGAGCTGTTCACCTTGATTTTACAGAGTTTGTATGGATGAAGCCTCAAGTAGTTGACCTGGCGCTTACTGAGCCTCAAGTACTGAATATCTTGAAATTAATCCAAGAATAATTTAAGTGCATGGTCTTTGTTCGCATTAATTAAACTTCACAATTATGTTTTTAAAAAATAGATAGCTGAAATACCCACTTAGATGTGTAAGTATACACCGGTAACAACATGTCATTCAAATACTAGAAATAGCATAATGGACATCCGGTGAGTTGTCATTGCTACGATTGAGAGTTCTTCTCACTCATGTCAAACTAGGCTTTACTGAATACTGAATCAAAGGCCAACATGGCAAAGTACACATGGATAGACATCATCACACATATTCTCAGATCTACAGTCTTTTTCTTGCCTGCATTCAAATCTGGAGGGATGTCACATATTGAGTCACCTCGCAAAAACACTTTCAGCATTTCTTTCAGAGCTGGAGGAATGTTGTTTTGAGGGAGTGACATTTACCTTGGAGTGGCAAGAGAAGACCTCGACAATTGTGTGGAGAATATACATGCCTAAGACACTAAGTCAAGGCCAAACTTGACCATTGTTGAAGTGAGGCGAGCATTACCATCATTGTCTTTATTGCTAAAATCATTTCTTTCGTATTATGCAGCCTTTGAATTTGTACTGCCTGTATGTTTTGCGCTTCCACTATAATACCTTTGTTGTGATTTGTATTAATTTGTAAACTTTGTTCATTTTAGAATACAATTGTTGAATGTATCACACTGCTTGTTGTTTGTTGGTGTCCGACAAAGGTCAGATTGATTTACATTTAATTACTGCATTAGTTATAACTTGAAAAACAACACAAAAATACAGTGAAAAAGAAATGAGTGAAATATGCTCACCTTGCTCTTTCATCTACATAACTCATGATGTTTTGAGACATTTGCCAGCCCATGTGACTCACACTAAATCCTTTTAATGACAAGCAGCAAACAAACTTTTCCAGGCTATGACTTTGAAGATGATTTTTACCCTTGACATGAAAGCTATTCCAGCAATATAGCTACATTTAAACAGATATCAGCATTTTCGTGAAAATAGATATTGTGCAGGTTTACCCATCATGGGTCAAGTATCATTGACCTTCAGTTAAAATTTGGTAAACACTTTTTTAAATAAAAAACTTGTCAGTGCTAAATGAAAACAGATGAAGCAAATACCTTGTAATAGCCATCCCAATGTAGTAGGTCAGTGGCACGATGGCAAGAACACCGAGGATGCATTTCTGAAATGACAAGAAAATGTGCTAGTGAACCATTACGTCCTGATTCTGTATAGGCTGACTCAATATAATAATAATCAAATGAACAAATGTCAATAGGTTTGTTTGCATGTATAATGTCACCTGTGGTTCTGGGACCACTTGTGATATCTTTGTCACATATTACTTGTTGCATGCTTGTACCATATGCAAACATAACACAATCCAATGCCACCTCTAAGGCTTTCATTTGTAGTCAAGCTGGTGGAAGTTGAGTCAGATCATTTAATTCAAGGTCGGAACTTGGAGAGATGCCTAGAAACGACAGCCTCTAATATTGTGACCTGATGGACTATCTGTGTGCATGTCAGCATCTGTCTTTCTGGAGTTGGCACCCCTGCTGTGATATTGCTTGAATACTGTTAAAAGCAGCATAAAACCCAACTTACTAACTCACTCACTCACTCTAGTGTTGACAATTGATATCTTGCTTCTATTGAGATGTCTTGAGAGTAATGACTAATTCTAAATGGTCAGGGCCGTCAACCAAGAAGCCAGGAAAACTCTGCAGATTTCTTGTCATGATCGGCCAGTAGGATGTAGCAGTGATGTCTTTCTTGTATTAGAAGAGCAGCTCTAACAACAGGGTAGGTAATATGGCTACAGAGCCATGGAGTGACTGATACACAGCACTGTAGATCTCACTTAGATATCAGGGGCTCCTTTCACGAAGCAACCTTTACTTAGGATAACTTTAACTCCCATTCTTTAATACTGCACTAAGGTTACCTTAGTGCTTTGTGAAAGGAGGCCCTGGTCAATGGGAAACAATTATCATGGCATGAAGTGACAGCTGAGTAAAAATCAGTGCAATGCATATGGCACATATTTCTTGTTATGGTATCTCTAATTCCATATCTATTTAGTCTTACAGATCTGGGTGCCGTTGTACAAAGCGATCTTAACGCTAAGGTAACCGTAACTCCCATACCATAACGTAGACTAAAGGCAGTCTTAGCGCTATGGTTGTTTTGTACCCAGAATGGTTAAAGGGTGAGTATTACCAAAAGAGTAACACATAGCAATACTTCTCTACAGTCTACAGCTGTAGTTATTCCTTGCTTTCTATTAGATATCAAGAGCAAGACTTAAACCACATTTCAGTGTTGATCCAGACATACGTCGAGACAGGCAAGTACTTACTGTGACACCATTGGTGATCTCATTTTCTGTATCGGTGTAGCCTAACACCAGTGACAATAAGACAAATATCAACAGATCTTAAATATGTTAAGGATTTCACGTTAAGACTAATTGTATGACACCTCAATAGTGAACAATCTTTTTCTGTGTTGTCACAAGTAATGATGACAACAACTAGATCCACCAGCACTGACCAGGAATCGTAAATCCAGGATATGAAGGACTTACCGGTACAAATATGTAAATCAGAAAATATTTTAACGGTAAACTTCCACATGGCTATCAAGAAAGATACATATTCAGTCACAATTTATGTCTGATCAGTATATATATATATATCAATATATATAAACAAGTGATTTCTGCAGGTGTATTTATAAGCAATAAATATATAACAGATGAGTCCAGATCTTCTTTCTTATCAAAACTCCTTCATCTGCACAAAAAACTATCGCCGTCCAACAGCTCTTCAGGTGTACTTTGTCAATGTCTTCATTATACACCAGAAGAGCCTTTGGACGGTGATACATCTTGTGGATTCATCTTTTATAATACACATAAATGCAACAATGGTAGTTATCTTGTAAATTCCTTGACTCATATAAAATCAAGGCCTTTCCAAAGCTTTACTTGGAATACAAAATCTAATTTTTAAGAGCATTTCTTACACCAAAAACAACTGCCATTGATTTAATGACAATCTTCAAAGGTGAATTTTTAAGAACATACAGCTTTTCATTTGGCCACTGAAACATGAACACACTTCTTACATTTAACTGAAAGTATAAACAGATCACCATGGCAGGAAGACAACAGAGCCATGTATATAATTTAAAAGAACTAAAGAGCACTGAGAAAACAGGGTCGAACAGCAAAAACAATGTGTGACCTGAACTGATTTTCAATGGCAGCTGTTATGAAAATTGATGTATATACAATATATACAGGTTACTAGAATTGACTAGTGGCTGCCAAGATGTATGTTTCATATAGGTGTAACGATATGATGAGGCAGCGATATGACACATACCTTGATAATAAGGTTGGGATACGACACTGTCATAGCAGTGCATGGCAATACAGTATTGTATAATAACACAAGGCTCATGATACAATAAATCAGTTTTCAACTCCTATATCACAATACATATCAAACATTACATAACAAGTTATACTGATGTGAAAAATGTACATAGTGACTGAAACTGTTCAAGAATCAGTTTATGCAGATTATCTTGTTTTCAAAAGTTCATATTCTTTACCTTTTAGCAGGTGAAAGTCACAGCCCTGAATCAATTGGTTTTTAATTTTAAATAGCAAAGACAGGTTACTGTAAGGGAGAAACATCTAAGTTTACCCCAGGAAATACCAGCAAAGACAGTCAATCTGTTATGAAAACAGAGCCTATCATACATTATCTTCAGGATGCAAGTGCAACTGAAGCATTACCTAGTCTCTCCAGGCAAACAATCCCACCTAAGAATATCATATAAGCTGGTTCCTTACTACTGCTTAACCTGAACAAAGATTGAACCATGATAAACAGTGCAGGACACAAGCAAACTTAACTTTCTTCAGGTGAGCTAAATTTTACATGTCAAAGTTTGTTACCACAGGATTCAATTCTAATATCAAGCAATATGGTCACATGGGTTTTGTTTAAGGTGACGCAAATTCAAAAACTAAGAATGTTATTCAAACAATAACACATACCTAAGAAGAAAAAAGTACACTGAATGAAAGCTAGCTTAAATGATGTATTGATGCAACTTACCTCTCACCAAACTTACAAGACAAAGTTTACATTGAAGAATGTGAGTACTTGTAAAGATAAAGGATACTGACAAGAATAACATTGACGCCATCCAGAGTATACTTGTAGTAGTACAAGTTGACTGACTGGTGTGTGTACATGATAATTTCACTGTGACTCTTCTTGGAATCCTGGAAAATACAAAAGAATGTAAATCAACCAACTTGTTCTTAAACACATAGGTAACAGTGAGTGAGTGAGTTTAGTTTTACGCCGCACTCAGCAATATTCCAGCTATCTGGCGGCGGTGTGTACGTAATTGAGTCTGGACCAGACAATCCAGTGATCAACAGCATGAGCATCGATCTACACAATTGGAATATGATGACATGTGTCAACCAAGTCAGCAAGCCTGACCATCCAATCCTCGCCTCTTGCGATAAGCATGGGTTACTGAAGATCAATTTTAACCCAGATCTATGGCTAACCATCATGAATACATGACATGTTTTTATGGATAACAACTTCTTTTTATTCTATATACGATGTTTCAGAGCTAATTCCTGCTCCTTCATCAGGTGAAATGAGCTCTGAAACATTGTATAAAGAATAAAAAGAAGTTGTTATCCATAAAAACATGTCATGTATTAAACCTACATCTTTACTCCAAATATAATAGATTACACATTGCATTTGAGTAACTCGCTGAGCAGAGGGTGACATCCTTGGACATAAGTATCAGATGATGATGACATAAGATGTGTCTGCAATGCTGCCTTCAAGTTAAATTATGTCACTGTTATTCTTATGTGCATGCACATGTGTGTGGCTGTTTGTACAACTCTGGATATATGCTGGTTTTTAAACTGGACGTATTACACTGACTCAGAGCCAAACAGTTTTATGCCCTTAATGCTGAGCATCAGTTGAGTTGAGTTGGGCTTTACGTCACATCGGCATTATTCCAGCCATATAGTGACGAGCTGAGCATCAGACATGGTAGCACCAAGTACCATCTGTTAATGTCCAGGCAGAGAATCGTCAGCTTCCTATTCTTGAAAGTATCACGCCATAATCATGTGTTGTTTGGGTCGATGTAACGCCAGGTCTGGTATGTCTGCCATTCAAACTTTTTGTGTCTGATACCACATCATGGAAGGTGCAGTCACAGCGATGCCCTCAAAATAACTATTCTTATGCCAATCAACAGAGCGTAGCTTAGTGAATAGAAAACTTCATCTTCTTCTCATCCACACATAGAACAAGCACATGCTCAGGTGACTTCTGGTTGAAAATATAAGAGTAAGTGAGTTTGGTTTTACGCCCCTTTTAACAATATTCCAGCAATACCATGGTGGGGAACACCAGAAATGGGCTTCAGACATTGTACCCATGTGGGGAATCGAACCCGGGCCTTCAGGTTGACGAGTGAATGCTTTTACCACTAGGCTACCCCACCGCCACTTTCAAAGAATTAGAGAATGATAGGAAGGTTCAGAGTTCGGATCAGAACCGTTAGGTGGGATCAAAATCTCAGATATAAGGATTATCTTTAGGATCACTAGGATTCTCTGAGGGGTCGAACACATCAACATTGAACTTGTGTTCATTTGGAATGGCCCTTCCTCCAAATATAATTGGGAACATATACGCACCAAAACCATCTCACTGGAGTCCTCAACATCAACTTCCTCAGGGGGTAGAAATAATATCTTCATCATTGTCTTACTGTTAACCTGATGAGAAAATGAATAAACACAACAGTTAAATACTGGCAGTAATACAGGATCTGATAGTCACAGATTCACCAGTAATATTAGGAGTGATGTTCACTGATGTAAATCTACTTATATTAATCACAAATGGCTTTCTGATGTGTGTGTGTATTTAATTAGAAGATATTTCATACTGCAAAAGACACGTGTTAACCCCAAAATAGACTCTCAAAAATTTGACATAACTATGGTGACTGACACATATTTCTGCTTCATTGGTCTTTCGAGAGGATGTTTCCAGAATACACTGTATGCGAATTTATGGCTCACAGTCAGTCACAGTGAAAGCTCAAATCAAGGTCTATTTTTAAAATGATCCCAAATCTGCAACATGCACCAATACAAACCTCAGAATTTGTTTGAAATATCTAATAAACAGCAAAAGAATTTCATATTTAAAAAAATATATTCATCAACATAATAGTGTTAAATAATAATCACTCAGTGAATAAGCATTTAACAACTGCCCTCTCGAATTATTATATTTCATTCATATTTCCCTGTCATGGTTTCTTCACAACACTCACGTCGCCATAGCACATTTTCTTACAGCAACAAGATCTGTTTTAACCAAAGACTCTTTGACAACCAATCACAGATCATACATTTATATCTTATGTCATACGGAAATATTGTTCAAATATCAATTTTCATAATTATTATGTCAATAAATCTAGACCCAAACATATGAATGTATTTATTTGTATTTCAATATTTTCACAACACATGGATAGATATTTCTGTGGTTGCAATACTTAAACTCACAGCTCCTAAATCACTGCTGTTTGCATGAAGATAAATACATGCTATCTTCCCTGGAATCGTTTCCTTCAAATATTTACTATGTGCGATGAAGGGATGTATGTGTTGTGTGCCGTGATCTGTTCCACTTTTGGTTTGTGCAGCATGCTATACTTGCTTGCAGACAACTGTAGACAGGAGTCAAGTTTAAGAAATTTATATCAGCTTTTACACATAAACACATAGCACAACAGCATACTAGTGATCTGAGGTAATCATTCTCAGCCTAACTATACTTTAAGAAGTGAAAAGACATTCAGAAACCTTTGCAATGGGTATAGAGATGACAAAGAGCCAGGATATGAACCACACAACAAAGTGTACTGCCATGAGTAGCGGTATGCCCAATACACACCAGATGTATGTCTGAGGGCGAACCTGAAACAGTAATATGTCAAACTTTCAAAATCAGCTAAAGGCATGTACTGTCCATCATGAAATTAATTTGTCACCAAACTAATGAAAGTAAATAAACAAACAAAAAACATGTCAAGAACTTAATGAAAGTAGACCTACCTTTCATATTTTGTAATCATCTTTTGTTTTATTTAAAACAATTACACATATTGCTAGTAATTATGTCCATAAACTAACCTCTAGTATATGATTGCCCTATTTCTCCTGCTTGCAGGTGATCACAATTTTACAGCAACAAACAGGGGTGGAAATAACCCATTGCCCGACGCCCGAGTCCAGTTTTTTTTTCTGTCGGGCAAGCAAATTTGTATATCACACTGTACCGGTGTCCAGTTGACTTTCCAATATTAATTATGTTGTTTATTTTAAAAACAACAAGAAAACGTCCGGTATAGTGGAAAAATTATCAGGGCAAGTGATTTTACATGTGCTACTGTACCAGAGTACACTAGCAATTTTAAAGTTATTTCCATCCCTGACAAAAGAAATTGAAGTACAGGTTGTTCTTTCCCTTGAATCATCTCCATTAACGTGGGAATTCCAGACCTTAGCGCATGTGTAATCCCTCAACCCTAATTATTTCTCAAACCTCATAAGATCATTAATTTGTCAGATCACTGGGAGGAGAGGGAGGAATACAGTATGTCCCGATTACAAATGTGTAACTTTATAACTATGAAAAAGGAACACACATTGGGAGAAAACTTTCCCATTCATATTTGATGTTTGTATTAATGTCATGATTTACAAAAGTCAATGTGTCAATAATGTGTCCTAAACCAACCATTGTATCATGTACAAGGTCAGTCACCAGTCTGTCCCAGATTAACTCCAACCACTGTAACGTGTACAAGGTCAGTCAACAGTCTGTACCAGATTAATTCCAACCATTGTATCATGTACACGGTCAGTCACCAGTCTGTCCCAGATTAATTCCAACCATTGTAACGTGTACAAAATCTGTCAACAGTCTGTACCAGATTAATTCCAACCATTGTATCGTGTACAAAATCTGTCAACAGTCTGTCCCAGATTAATTCCAACCACTGTAACGTGTACAAGGTCAGTCAACAGTCTGTACCAGATTAATTCCAAACACTGTAACGTGTACAAGGTCAGTCAACAGTCTGTACCAGATTAATTCCAACCATTGCACTGTGTACTAAGTCAGTCACGAGTCCGTCAACCAATTATGCATTATCATGATGATTCCTGTTTACTACATTTAAGAGGCGGGACTAAAGCACTGTTGCCACAATGAATAATATTTTTATCATACGTCTCATTTTACTAACCCAGAGGGATTTGCGTGGAGAATTAGCTTCTTTTTTATTATCATCTGCTGCCAAAAGAGCAGTATCTTCTGACATGTTTGCTGTTCCATTGTGTTGTGTGTATGTCACATCATGATAACTGGATTCTGCTACAGAGTACAGCGGAACATCATGTATCTGAAAAAGTAACGAAATACTCATTAGCTTCATAAAAGCAATTCCTCAAACATTGATGTCCTTGCCTCTTCATGTATTATACACCCATGGAAAAAACTGCTACAATGAGTTTTTCTTTTGTAGGATTATTTTGACCCGTTGGACATTGAATTTTAGATATTCACATGTTTCAATCAAACGCGAACATCTGTGAAACATGTGTACCCGTCATTAACCCCCTAGATGCCACAGGGACATATATGTCCTTCCCCTTCAACCCTCAATTTGAAGTCCAATAAAAATCAAAATATCCCACGCACACAAATACACTTCACAGTTTCGAATTCTGCGGGAAATTTCCTGTTTCTTGATACCATCCACTATTATTTTAGACAAAGCTCAAGTGCTGAAAATGACCTTTCAAAATAGGCTTCATCGAAAATGTCGCCATTTTTTACAGTATGAAATCGCGATTCACAGCGTTATTTGCTGTATGTTTTGAAATGTGAAAATCGGATAATTACTGGGAGTATTGAATTTCAAAAATAACATATTCATGATCACTGATACCAGTTTTACATGAAATGGCAAATTATAATTCTGAAACGTTGCCGATGAATCTAGAATCGGTTGGGATGTTTTCGAAAATGCACTTACACAAACGCTGTAGAGCGCTTTACGACATATTGGGTAGTGTTTACAAAACCACGTTTCGCGAAGGCCGGTATTGAGACGCCTATTACATCATGTATATTTCATATTCAGCTTCGAAAAATGCATCACTGAATTCCCCATACATTTTAGAATCAAATTGCAACTGGTCTGTGTCACCAATACCAACTGTCTAGATCAAATGAGACGAAACATATTGGGTGTGAACACGAACACTGTGCTCGAAAGACTGCGCTGGTTCGAAATGTGAACAAAGACAAATTCCGATTTTACACTGCGTAGCATTTTCTGAAATTTTCCAACATTCATCCGTCTATTCATAGCTTGCAATGGCTCAATACCTTTTGAATATACATGGAAAGAGTATCGTAGTAAGAAATAGGAAATTATAAATAGATAATTCGATAATTCATAAGAAATTGTCAAAGTTTCCGTGCAGCGTGACGCCATGACTGACGTAAAATCACGCAGAACGACAACTGTAATTATCAGCATTTCTGGCTTCTTCTCTTACTTACAGTGAAAACGATAGAAGCATATAACAATACACAGTTAGTCAGAATCATTCTGATTACTTACATGTCATAATTATGTACAAACGATCACTGAATCAATGGAAGGGTCCTCGCAAAATCCTGTGTATCCTTGTCAGCAAAGCCGCCATTTGGTAAGAAATAGGTCATCGGTAGTGATGTCATACGTCAACATTGTTGTACATATTAGGCAATTTCTTTGAGGTGAAGGTCGGTTGAACAAGAGTAAACACAATCCCCCAATCCTTCCGATTACACTGTCAGTATTATGATGTATATTTTGCGGATGGTTCAGATGCTTTTTCATGAAACTGACCTCAGTATTTACATTTAGCCTTGTCCAATATCATATCATACGTGCATATAGGGTTTACGGTGTTTTATTCTTTGAAAGATTTTAATTGTTTGAATAATATTTACATAAGAAATTGACACATTTAGTGCAGTACACCATATTCTAAACCTTTACACAAGATTTAGAAGATCAAACATAGCCATAACTGCAATTACTTTAGTTCCTATGATGTACATTATTCAATGCATTTGAACTAATATTGCAGTTTCACATGAACAGGTTAATGAACAGCGATTTGATTAAACCTTATAAGTAAAACTGATAATATTTAATGAAAAAATGTATGTATGTTATGAAATGTATATGCACACACATTTAAATGAATTGTCTTGTTCATTGCACATTTTTGTGTCGTTTTATAGAGAAAACAATGATGTAAATTGATTGGCCAGGTGCGCGTTTATCGGAAACGTTTTATGATTCACTATCATTGTTTTCGATAATATAATCAATTCATATTCGATTAAAAAATATTGTGATGACAGGATATCAAACTCTTACTATATTTATATCTGAAAATTGTTTAAAAATGTATAAACCATGTCATGTCTTAATTTGGACAAATCTTACATCCATATTCTAATATATAGTACGTACTAGTTCCGTATATAAAAAGCTATCTTTTTTGCATCTTCCATTGCATACTTATGAAGAGAAATAGCTACATAATCATAAATAAAGAAAATTCTTATCCTAAACAAAATATTCGGGTTTTGTGAAATGTTATTTTTCATTTACGTTAAATTGATGCCAAACAGGTGCGCGTGTTGCTCATGATAAGATACACAGTCAAACTGTCTAATTGTTGATATATCCAGGACACTATTTAAATGGAAAAACCAGTCATTTTATGTTGTGTCTAAAGAGTGTTAATTCTGACAAAGAAGTCGAGCTTTCACACAATTAATGGAAATTAGGTGAGATATATACTGATCAGCATACCAATGTCGTCTTTTCCTGACGTCACAAAATGCATAAACCAAGCAATGACGTCAACTAAACTGTTGTATTATTTTCAGCAATTTCATTACATTTGAAGATATGGCTAGTGTTCTGGTAATAACGATGCAAAATTAGTCAAATTACATCTACACAAACATGAGAATATGGGAATCTAAGAACTAACTTATATGTCGGATAGGGCCATCCAAATCGCTATTACGTGCTTTCACATGTAATACGTTGTCATTTTTCTTGTAAACTGTGAAACTACCAAACTGCATCCGCTCACATTGGGGAACTTTCAATTGGAAAAGGTTGGTTCACCATGAACATATAATAACGAAAATATAGCGTCTGTATCCACAACAAATTCTCTCCAAGTGATCTGAGTTACATTGACCTAGTGTTACGCATAGCGGAGTTATGCCCCCTTATCATTATACGTGTATGACCTCTCTGTTGTCGTTTGACGTCATAGAAGAAAATCCATTTTTGACACTTATTGCGAGTCATTTTTAATGTTGAGCGTATAACGTTATGCACAAGCACATAAAAGATGAAAGATATCAGGCTGTATTTTCTTCGCTCACACTTTCCGTAAAGATACCACATTAAAAATTCATAGCACAGTGCTTTTATCGGTGCGCGATAAAAAGCGGATAAATTTACTGTTTTTTAACGCATAACAAACTTTGGACAACATTTAGCAGTGTCTATTACTGCCGAGGTAGTTGAACTTATATTTATACCAACGGATAGGAAATTTTATATTCTACATTTCTGTGTAATTTTATAGCCATACATAGATCTAGGACCACGAGAGTGCAATTCTCGCACAACGTTCACTTTTCAAACCCTAGAAAATGTGCGCCTGAAAAAAACCTCGGCATCAAGGGGGTTAAGCATATATTATACTTCAGCAAACTGTTCTTACAGTTTGATAACTTGGAAAATCTGTTGATTTTGTTCTTGATAAGCAAATATGAGGTCTTCTCAACTGACAACTGCTCAGACATGGTTAGTTTTGCTATGTGGAATGCTGGCATGTCATCCAGGACTATTGCAAGTGATGTAGGTTGTCATCCATCGATGATCTACCGTGTGGTCAGAAAACATCAGCAAACCAATGACATTAAGGACTGTCAGTGTTCAGGTTGACCACGAGTGACAACTCCTAGGGAGGATACAGCCCTCCTCAGAATAACAAGACAATGTCCATTCATGTCAAGTGGCATCTCAAAAGTAGAGTGGCTTCCACATGGTCACAAATCGCCTAAAATCAGAAAAGTATAGAGCCAGACAACTTATCAGATGTTATTCCTTGAGGGTGATCTTATCCAGATTGTAAGTTAAATTGAGGTTTGGATAAGTTCTTTCGCTGGCGGGTTGCGATACTTTTTTTTATGTGCATATTCTATGTAAAGAATGAAAAGTGAGGACATTATGTCAGTCCCCTTTCTGAGATGGAGAAGAGCATTTACCAAGACAACCATATCAGCCATATGAGTCACTTCTGTCAAAGGACAAATGATGGAGCCAAGAGACAGGAAGGACTGCTTCGCCTCGATTTTGGTCCTCAGTTTCAGACAGCGAGTTCTTCGAAACTGTCCCCTACAGTCACACTCTCACTCAAGTTTAGTCAGTGATAGTCAAGGAACTTGAAGAGGAATGATTTGAAAACTCAAGAAGGGACTTTGGAATTAATATTTTACAAACATGATTGCTTGTGAGGATAGTGAGTGTAGTCTCCTGGCTTATTGATCATACAATGAAGTTCTGACATCTCATGCTCCGGGTACAATCAATAAGGAGGGGCATACATCAAGGGTGGCGATCATTAGATCAGCAGTCTGTAACCCTCTGTCAGGGTGATCGAGTTCAAGTCAAAATCCTACAAGATGACTGACTGACTGAGTTTGGTTTTACGCCGCTTTTAGCAATATTCCAGCAACATCACGGCGGGGGACACCAGAAATGGGCTTCACACATTGTACCCATGTGGGGATTCGAACCCGGGTCTTCGGCGTGACGAGCCAACGCTTTAACCACTAGGCTACCCCACCGCCCCCTTACAAGATGAAGGAAGTTGACTGATCTGATGCTGAAAAACTCTTGGAAAGTTGAAGTTTACCCATGATCCATGCATGGTAGAAAGGATTGAAGCTCTTAATGCTACCCTTCAGAGTAGAGACATCATGTATCCCTGCTCAGCACTGAGGAGAGAAAGTAACTTCCCTTCCTCTTGTCTTTATGAGCAAAGTTTGATCGCCTGTTTTTAACAATGTCCAGTTTCAATCACATTTGAAGCCTGAGAGTTCATTATCGTTCTGTCAAAACAACCCACCATCGTGCTTAATATCCATTCTGACACCATCATCTGGATGATTTTTTCCCCAACTCTTGCAGCATACAAAACTGAGGCTTGCATTCTTACTTGGGAAACACTATACAAACTTCTATTCCAACATTAGATTGAAAAAATATATCAATATTACACAAACTAGATGAAGGCAGACATATTGTTCAAAGAGAAGATCGAGGAACCTTTAGACCATTGGTACTGGGCTGCAGAATTGTGGCTCAAAGCTACTTGAAGGTACTAGGACCGGTGATCCCTTGTTATCTTTCTTTCCTTTTTCTTTCTACACTTTTCATATCTTGTTCCTTTCTAAAGATCAAACAAATCACAATATCTGTAGGGGTAAAAAAAAGACAGGTCATCTGCACCCGTGTGCAAAAAGAAAGAGAATGACTGGCAGTCACATGATCAGCCTTGGGCAAGTCACTCGCTCTGCAGGAGCTTCCAGTGACTGCCTACAACAATAGTTGGAAGAACAAGGGAAAGTGCATGAGACATAATGTGCATTCAGTTAAATATTGGAAATTCTATCAAGCAATTTTGAATTTCCAAAGAAGTTTGAAAATGAAAGAAAACATAAGGGGGGACTTTTTCTTTGACACAGGAAGGTAGTAGTGACTGTTATTTAAACAAAATGTTGTATGTGCTTTGTCCCAGATGTCTTATACATAACACATGAAATAGAAGATTAATTTTTTTCGAAAAGGTATTGTTGTATCTTATAATTGTTGAGGATTTATAGCTTCTGGTTTACTGCAAAATCTGTCATGACATCCAATTGGTGCACAATGTGCTCGCAGCAGCCAGGAGATGGAAATCCCCAGGTATCGATGACAACCCCTCAATATGTACTTTAGCTGCTGATTTGAATCAAATGACATTTGCAACAAAAACTGTTTTTAAAAGTGTAAATTTTACATTCTTTGTCTAAATCACATGTTTATCTTTGTAAAGAGCAATATTTTCAATATTTTCCTGGCAATTTCATGCTTGGGCGAGTCTATTATTATTCAGGGTAGCGCTATTGTTTTCCATAATGTAATTACATATTATAAGGGTTTTTTTCTTAAAGAAAGTTAAATTTAGGCATATTTTTCTCTTCTAGAGTATGTGTCAGGTCTAAATTTGTATTTTGAACAGAGAATATTATATCATTTTCAATATGAGATAATTTTCATCCCTTTGAATAAAGTGGACAAGTCCATGTGTAAACATGATTTAGTTCCAAGTAGTAAATGTTCCGGTTCGGAATAAATGCCGTGAAATAGAAATTGGATGACACGAATATAAATTCGGCACATACGGCAAATATTCCATCGAACAAGAACAAATACCGTAGGCCTAACCTATTCCAGTCATTATTGAATGCAAAATCGACTCGTCCAACTTGTCGACATCCAGGATTTCTCAAGCCCGAAATACACGTGAATCATGTTAGATCTCGGTGAAAATGAAATCAACGAGCGGCCATTTGCCACACACAGCAAGGAGGTGCAATACATAAGCGCCCGACTCTGATGTATTTATAAGTATGACCTATATATATATAACATATAAGATATGTTATATATATAGGTCATACTTATAAATATATCAGAGATCGATCAGACCGATTATGGAGGCAGAGGAAAACACTGCTCATTGTACTATGTATCGGACGAGATCAAGGATAAGTCTGCTCCATTGAAGCTTGTCATAACTTGTGACCAGAAAATTAGCAACCATCAGAATGTGCCATATTGATCACTGTACGTTTACCAAAACTGTAGATCAAAATAAAATAAAACGATATTTGAACAATTCTTCAGTATTGTCCGGATTTCGATCAGGACCCTTATCACCCGACATGTAGATATTATACATACATCTTTGAAATAATAATTTGAAATAGATGCACAGATTTTTAAAGAAAGGTGAACCATATCTAATGGCAGTTTAGGCAATTTAGTGCTATTGAGTATAGCCATAACAAAAGATGAAACCAATTCCAACAAAAAAGACATGGTGCCACTGACGACAATACTATATTGAGTCCTTTTATGAGGAACTTTCACACATGATAAATGCTGCTTGATAGCCACAAGATTTGTTCCACATGGAACAAATACAGTAGGTTTGAAAGACCACCCCAACAAACAAAACCCTCTTTTAGACACTTTAGGATGTGTGTGAAAGTTCCTATTTACCCGGAATAAATTCTGTGTGTGGGGAACGAAATAATTGTTCCGCATGCACTATTACAAGAACAAATACTGGAATGAAAAGTTCCAACGGAACTTCTACTATGGGGGAACCAAATCTTTTTTACACATGAGTTTCATGCCATGCTAGCTTTTCAAGTAAATGTATTTTTCATCATTCTGGGATTGTGTTGTATAATTTTTTATTATATTTTACAATTTGGGCATTCTTTGCAGAGTTAGAGTTTTTATGAAGCTGTCAGGTCTTGTCTGTGGGATATATTACTAGCGCTTCACTCACTTTGTGTGTAGACTCAGTAAGCATTAGAGCATGCAAGAGTTACTTGAAGATTTACACATTATTTCAAGGCAAGAATAAATTTTGTGATTGTATGTACATATTGATTTATGACAGATTTGTGTCAATCTGTTCCCTGCATATTTATTATTATCCTTATATTTCACAGAACTCTGACGTTAAAAGGTGTTGGAAGAACTCCCAACCTAGTTGTTCTTACCCAATTCAAACCAGCTGCTCAAACCTGCTATTTTATTTTAAGAAAATGGAGAACAGTTTTATACAATTCATGTGTTTAACTATATTCTATTTTAAATCCTTTGCACAGTTTAACTTGTAAAGTCTCTTGTAACTGTGTATAGAATGGCCCTATATACATCTTTTTAATGAACTACAGTGAAACCTGCTAACACCGGCACCTGTCTATCCCGCACACTGTCAAAACCAGCATAAAATTTTGGTCCCGCCATTGTACAACGATATTATGACCATTAAAACATTGTCTAATCTGGCACCTGTCAGTCCAATCAAAAACCCATAATCCAATAACCTAATTAATCCAATACACTCCTCTCGGCAGGCAAGTAGTAATCAGGAAGTAGTGATTGCGCGGTGAATCAAACGCTTGTACGATTACCACGGTTATGCTTTATAAACACTGGGGGATTGCATTAACTGTTTTCAAGTGAGTGACGTGTCAGAGAGTAAATAAATAGGCATTGGTTTTATTGTCAGTCACTTTGTGTGCCATGATAGCTAGACCAGCTAAGCTGGCACATTTGGTATTAACACTTGTTAAAAAAAAATCAACTAATCAATGACTTTGATACTCTTCCTTGGGCCTTCTCAAACAGAACTTGCAGTTAAATATCAAATTTACAAGCAAACTGTTTCGGACATTTTGAAAAAGTGTGATGTTTATCGGTCCATATTTGTACTTGTTACTTGAACAATGTTTAGTGCTCTATAAAGAATAATTATCTGTCATCAACATTGTTTTAATTTGTTACACTATTTCAAAAGATCATAGGCATTATAGAGATAAAGAGATTGACGAGTGAAAAGGGAAATGATCGTCACTGTATAATCCGGCACCTTGTCTAAACTGGCATTTTATTTCGGTCCTGTCGGGTGCCGGTTTAGACAGGTTTCACTATATATCTATTTATGTGTTTTAGTTACTGTATGGGGGGTGAGACTCAAATAAACAATCTGCCTGTATGTCTGTCCATTTTGTCTATGTTGTACTAGTACAAAGTTACACTATACTTGGATTCATACTGGCTTGTGTTGTGTTATTGTGCTGTGTTATTGTGCTGAGTGAGTGAGTTTAGTTTTACGCCGCACTCAGCAATATTTCAGCTATATGGTGGCAGTCTGTAAATATATGAGTCTGGACCAGACAATCCAGTGATCATGAACAGCATGAGCATCGATCTGTGCAATTGAGGTGTTAACACTGTCCACAGTTGTTGTTTTTTTAATGTTACATGCTAAATACAGAGTCTGTTAAGATTTTCTTGTTGACTTACCTCTGATGATTATGTGTAATTTTGAACATTACCAACAATGATACCAACTCGGTGGGCGAGCTGGCTAAGGCGCCAGGCTAGTGATCCAGCGAGGTTGAGGTGTCGGGATCGAGCCCACCTGTGACCGGGTGTAAAAACCTTGGAGTCAACTTTGTGTGCAGACTCATTCAGTGTTGTCACAACCCCTAGTGTACAGTACACAACCCTGTGCACTTAAAAGAACCAACGAATCCGTTGGTATTTGACCAGATGGTGGCCACATGAATACGTGCAAACACCTAGTTGCGGGTAAAGCAAGGTGCAGTGAACATGGACAAAGTACGGTAACTATGTGTCCCAGTCCACCCAGCTGTGAATGGGTACCTCGTTAGGATGAGAAAGCCACAATAACTCGGTGCGCCTAGTGGCTGCAACAGTTGTATACTCCCCAGGGAGTTGAGATTGATAATGCGATGTGCCGTTGAGATTGACATCCAATGATCGAGGGAAAAAATACCAGCGCCTTGACCATGCACTAGTGCGTGGATATGTGTGCTAAATAAATATCCTATAATAAATATCCTATAATAAAAAAAACTCTTAGAAAGACAATATTTAATTTTATTCAAGCTGGACCTCTGAATTCAGAAACAAGTTTCAGGAAAAAGACAATCAAGTGGAATTTAATCGTAAGAAATGTGATTACTGTGGAACTATTGTCAGTGTATGTCTTACCTGATGTACAAACTTTCCAAATGGCCAGAGGAAATACCTTGACATCATCCAACAGAATTTTCCTGGAAAAATATCATTAAAAATATCATTTAAAATGTATTTGAAACAGCTTGGAAGTAGTCATTCAAGACACTGTCAAATGTTTACTGCAACGTGGAAAATCAGAAATGATTGAAACACATGAAAACTGTAATGTCCCTTCTGTTCTATCCAACTATACTGAGTGAGTGAGTTTAGTTTTATGCCACACTCAGCAATATTCCAGCTAGCCAAATAATTGAGTCCAGACCAGCTGTGATCAACAGCATGAGCATCATTAATAGAGAACTGTGACATGTCAATCAAGTCATTCCCCTGATCCTGACCCTCTTCTGTTCTGAAAACATTATTAGCTGTTTGAATCCATTCCCAGACCCTTTCTGAAGGGCATGTAGAACAATAAATACATCTCAGTCTTTCTTTGCCTTGGGGGATGATGCTACACAGGTCACATGTTCCTCTGAAAATTATAAAGTGTACTATCAGAGCTTTCTGTGGTTGTTTGGGATGTACCCATGACAGGTTTCCTTGTCAGCCTGTGTTTTCAGAGCATGCCACCTGGTTTCCAGATATGAAGATCAGAAGATTTGTTCTTCCGGCAGTACAGAGATCTAGACTGCCAACTGTCAGACTCCCAGTCTTGTGAAAGCCAGAGGTAACATCACTGACTTCGTGTACTGACAGTCAGGTGCCTCACTCGGAGAGTGTGGGTTTGATTAATGGATGGTATTAAAAAGCATTCTAGTTTAGAGATTAATTGTAGTGCAACTGTACAAATGCGGCAAAAATTAATCTATTTTAAAATAGCATAGGAAATCTACACAATTAATTTTATGGGAGCTACAAGAATTCATCCAAGTGTTGATTTTGGCTGCTTCTCAGACAACTTTAGCTTAGGAATATAAACTGCTGTAGAGACTCACAAAAGAACAATGCGTTAACTTGCGAAAACTATGACAGCTAAGTTATTTCTCACTGGAGTACTGTGCAACACACGCATCCCAACTTTCTCACCATAAGATCTGCCGATGTATGTTAGATACATGAGTGCACCGACGATGATGTACAGCAAAGCCAGCCACCAACCAACCAAACAGGCATATATAATGTTTGTTGGGCAGACAGTTGACACTGAAGTGGAAAGACATGTTGTTAAAACAAATCAATACAACCATTTTTTTCAGAATCCAACAACAACTTGTATTTTCATAACATTCAGCACTTAGTATTCATACTCCTTTAATCCCAGGATGCCTCATATATCCTCGGGAGGTGCTATTGCAAACCTTTGACAAATCCAATCCTGACTCATATATCATTGCCAACTTCACTGCTGTGGTATCTCACAGCACAATGAAATGACACATGCAGTATGATTGCACTATCAGCATCCACATCAGTGAATAAAAGTGAAAAGGTTAAGTTTTGTCAACACTACACAACATACTTACTGCATGTCTAATTTTCTACTGATTCATGCAGAAATGGATGGACAATATGTTATTTCCCAACTTGCATAACACCAATATTTAAGAGACACCACAACTCCAAAAAAAAATGCACAATGTTAGCTTCTGATTAACCAAGGCTTCATAAATGTTGTCAAAAATGCATTTAATCTTGCAATAATTTAACATGCATGTTATATGTAGGTCAAAGGCAATTCCTAAAATCATACAATATGTGATCAATGTGTTTGGTTGTTTATTTACATAGCACCCAGCAAGACTAACCATGTTATAGCAAGCTGGAGCAATTCCAGTCTGGATCCGGTAATTCATATTATCATCAAACTTACATTATGTACATGTCACGGCACAAGAACCAATGAAGTGTCTACACCTGACATCCATTTAAGTAGTATTTGCAACAACAATATGTTGCTGGACATTTCCACTCAGTTGAAGGATGTATGATACCTGAGGTGAATGACAAGTTTCATAGACTTACTCCAGAAACCAAACCTTCCCAGTTGAATGTAAATCCAAAAATAAACTAAAATAAATCCAGCATTTTATCAAATGTCTGATATGCATGCGACTCAATTTTGAATACTATATGAGCACAAAACAACAGTGGTAATCAGAATAATATATCTGTGAGTAATTCTTCTTGATACACCATTGGTGAGGTGTTCCAAGCTTGATTTCAGCTTCACAGGTCAGATAGTTTACTGGCATGAACAAATATGAATTCTACTGAGTACATATTTCAGGTTTTAAGACCTTGTACTTTCCCTATCAGAATAGTTTCAAGGATATTTCACAATTATGAATTTCTTGTTAAGATCACAAAAATGTAATTTTCTGATTAAAATTGATATTTTATACTTATCCTGACTCATGCTCTTTTGCTTGTCTTCTTCTTCTTGCGAACATAGTGGAACACTTGTATCTCCCTAATTGAAGCTCCCTTCAATGTAAAAATCACTAATTAGTACTCACCAAGAGTTGCCTCCCTCTTCCAAATGCGCGGGAAAGGAGGCGCCACCTCTTCCCTCATGCTTCACTCTCTCCTGATATAGCGAGCCTAACACTTGAATTTACTGGGATTCATACTGGCTTGTGTTGTGTTACATAATTTTCCTTATCCTGACTCATGCTCTTTTGCTTGTAGAATCCTACGGAAACGGAGGTGGGAAAACACAATACTTTGGATTTAAATAATTAGTGATTTCTGTATAAGTAATAACCCCCTATGGGAACTTCCTAATGGCACTGTAATTAAGCTAATTCCTGCTGCTATAAAACATAAGTTCTACCAGCTGCCATAGATGGGGGTACTACAATATATAGATACTATGATAATAGTAATAATGGTATAAAGCGACTCCAAAGTGGAGAAGCGACCCAATGTACATATAACATCAGTACTGGGCTTAACGACTACTATAGACTTAAGATATGTATATAATAGCACAAAACTCCGTAGAGTTATAAGCTAGATGAAACTGGTATGATATATACATAATAATAATCTCGTGAGACTAATCATCGTCTACGAGGGACTGTCAACTGCTGTGCGAGGACCATGGGACCGAAATGGTGAATACCTGAGACGCCCCTCGGTGGTGATATCTCTCAGATAGTGGTTAGCAAACACCATGTCGGATTTCCAAAAGCAGCCCTCCATAATGGTATTCAACGAGCAATTTCCGTGTAGAGTGAGTGTGGAAGCCAGTGCTCTGATTTCATGGGGATTAGATGCTCTTGGAGGGTCGAGTCCTGCAGCCTTGTAGGCACGAAGTATGACAGTTCTGATCCATATCGATATGGTGGTACGAGAGACTTCGGTCTGAGTCGCTGTCGATAGAGGGATGAATAACCGCTTGAGTTGTCGTCGCCTCGTTTTGGATCGTTGTAGATAGATTTTGAGTGCTCTGACTGGACATAGAGATAGGTCAAGCATATCTTGAGATCCGAGAATTGAGGAGAGTGCAGGAACATGGAATAATCTGTCTGGTTGACCTGGCAATTGATTTTTGGCGATTAAATCCCATCGCAGTCCCATATGCACTACTTTTTGATTGTCGTCAAAACGTATTCTCTCATGATCTAGTGCGTGAATTTCTGACATACTGGCTGCCGTTGCTAGGGACAACAGGAACAAAGTTTTCTGTGACAGAAATTCAAAGGTTGTTGATTCCAGTGGTTCATAGGCCTCACTTGTGAGGTGTTGGAGCACTATATTTAGATCCCATGATGGAGCACGAAATCTCTGTTTCTGATCCTCCAATCGGAATGCACGTAGTAAGGCCAGTAACTCTGGCGTCTTGGTTAGCTTGACACCAATTCTCATAGTTATCACAGAACTTAGAGCTGTGAGATAAGTTGACAATGTCGAGCCTTTTAAATGTTTATTTTGTCGTAGGTAACACAGATAGTCAGCCACTTGTGGATGTGTAGCATTTCTCGCTGTAAATCCCTTTTTAGCAGCGTATGTTTCAAAACTGTGCCACTTGTCGTCATACAAGTTGTGCGTAGAATTGCGTAAAGCAAGCGTGACTGCTTTCGCCGCTCTGGCTGAATAAACTCTCTTGTTTAGACACACTTTAATACAGTCCATACGTGAAGTTGGAATGCTTCTGGCTTTCGTATGCTTGTTTGGTGTGAGGATGTATTAGTAGATTCGGCTTTGGTAGCTCTAGTGTTGGTTGTCCGATTTCTTGAATTAGAATGGGAAACCACGTTCTCGCTGGCCAGTAGGGCGCGACCAAAATCAGTTGGAGGCTCTGTGTTTGACTGATTTTCTGTAACACCTGTGGAATAAGCGCTGGCAGCGGAAACGCGAACGCGTTGAGGCCTTCCCAGGATATGCTTAGTGCGTCCGCTGCCCACGCCTGTGGATCCGGGACTGGTGATAATGAATGTTGTTAGCTGATTGTTGAAGCGAAAGTGGCGAATAGGTCTACTAGGGGAGCTCCTATTTCCTTGATAATCTGTGCAAAGATTTCTGTATGGAGCATCCATTCTGTCGGTGATGGTAGATGTGGCCGAGAGAGTGCGTCTGCTAGTACATTCTTGGCTCCCGGAATGTGGCATGCTCTGACATGTATGTTGAGATCGCCGATTAGATCGAACAGTTGAAAGCATAGAGTCAATAGGTTCAATGATCTCGTTGAGCCTTGTTTGTTTACATAAAACGCCACTGTTGAGTTGTCGGTGTGAATCATCAGATGCGCATTCTGTAGAATAGTGCTCCAATGTAGTAGGGCGTTGATTACTGCTTTCATTTCTAGCATGTTTATGTGCAGCTTGCTCTCTTGCTGGTTCCATAACCCTGATGCCGTCCGGTTGGCGAGATGAGCTCCCCAACCTTGGAGCCACGCTGCGCCTACATAGAGATGGGTTTTGAATTCGCTCTGTTAAATAGATGCCTTCGAGACATTCGACCTCCTGGTCCACCATAGTAGATGAGGTCTGATGTGCTTCGGTAGACTGAATGGTTGTAGGTCGTCGAGATGAGCGTTGATGAGGACCTGTAACGGACGTAACTGTAGTCTGCCTCTGACTGTCATGTCTTGGGCTGACGTGAGGAGACCCAACAGACTCTGCCATTGTCGTAGTGGTAGCGAGAGAGTAAGGCTTGTGGAATGGTCTGTTGGATCTTGAGCCATCGGTCCTCTGGTACGCAACGATACTGTTCTGTGTCGCGGATAAATCGAATGCCTAGAAATTGCAGATCTTGCGTGAGGTTCTAGGTCCGACTTGAGTAGATTTACTAACCATCCTAGCTGTGTTAGTAGCTTGATGATGTAGTTTAACTGTAGTTTGAGACGCTGTGGATCTTGATCTACTTGAATCCCGTCCGTCGAGGTAGAACGCACTGGCGTAGCCCTAGACGATGTAGGTAAGTGACGATGGGTTTCGCTACTCTTGTGAATAACCAGGGGCCGGATGATATTCCAAATGGGAGTACTTCCATTGATAATGCAGCCCGCCTAGTGTAAACCGTAGGTATTTCCTGGATTCGGGATGTATGGGGATATGTAGATACGCGATCCTGCAGGTCTATACTGGCCATGTAGTCCATGGGACGAATTAGGTGCCGGGTTGAGGTAGATGTATCATGCTAAACGCTACGGCTTGGCGAGATAATCTCTGCTGAACGTGCTCATGTTGTAGATGAGTCTGAACTTTCCCTTGGAGAGTTTTTCTGGGCACTAGGAAAACTGGGGAGTAGAAGCCTGGTTCGATGTTTACTTGATCCAGTACTTCTATGGCCTGCTTGGTTAGTAGCGATGCAACAGCTTCTCTTAACTTTAGTAGTTGTTGCTCTGAAAGTCGAACTTGTGAGGGTTGACTGTAAGCGGAGGCGTGGCCTGTAGTTGGATTCGATATCCGCGATGTAGGATGTTGGAGACATAAGGGTCTTGTAGAATTCCCCAGTTCTCCCAGTGCAGTTGAAGGCGTCCACCCACTTGTGATGGTTGTACTGGAACGGCTGGGGTGGAAGGCTCCAGTCGCTCCGAACCCGCCTTTCATCGCTTATAGTTGAGGGAACCTCTGGGTGCCCTGCCTCTTCCAGATCCTCCTCTGTAGTTGCCGTATGGGCTTAATTTAAAAAGAATCTTTTCCTCTTGAGGTGGCCATCTTCCTGTCCCGTGCTTTCTGTAAGCCAGTAAACTTAGATCTTCCTGAATATCTCTGTGATGTCTGCCTGATGACGCTGGCTAGCGTGTCCATCGACTTTATCATAAGGACTTCCCTTGAATCCTTGGTGACTTCTTTAGAGACTTTATCTATTCCTCCATCGAAGATAGATGGCGAAGACCACGGGCTGTGTAGAGTGGAGATGTAAACTGTTCACCCCAACTACAGGAAGCTGAGGAGACCTTGACGACGAGCCAGAGTTAGCGCCATGGAGACTGATGTAAGATGATCTGTTAAGAACTGCTGGTCCTTCTTCTGCATAAGGAGGGCCGAAAGTAAATCATTCTGTCATCTTCTGATGTAGAATCACGAAATCTGGTGATGAGAGTTTCATTAACCGTTCTTGATCTGTTAAGACCAAAGAACATTCTCCTTGTCATGGTTTCGATCTGCACCAGCTTGCGGTCGCCTATCTTGTAGGTCTTATTCTTGGCATCGTTGATTACTTTGAAGTTATCGCCGATATCTTGTGCCTTGGAAAAATGGGTCCATATTATGGGTTGAGAACTTTTGGCGCTTGAACTGTGGTAAGTGCGCCTGGGCTTTAGTGGCTTTATGGAAGGCTGTGTCCAGATTCTGAGAGACTGTTGCTATCGGGTCGATCGGAGGTAGGGTGATGGTGTCTGCATCGTCCTCCCTCATGAGATAAGTGTGGGCCGGGTTACCGTTCTTGGAAGGTGAAGCTAGGTCCAGGTTGTTAACCATCCAGTAGCGTATTTCTGCGTCGGAGAATATGATGCCTCCATCATCTTCTGTAACAGGATCGCAAATAAGAGGTTGATCCGATGGTGACTGAGGTGGAGACCTGTATACTTCTACAGCTGTGCAGGGTGACGTCAACGGAGACCTGTCTGGGGACTTCCGTGAAGACTTGTGAGGCGAACGGTGTGATGATCTGCGTGGAGATCGACGTGGTGAACGACGAGGTGATCGACGTGGAGATCGACGAGGAGGTCGTCGTGGAGAACGGCCTGGTGAACTGCGTAGATATGGTGACCTTCGCGGAGATCTATGTGGTGAACGTTGATAGCTTCGCGAAGCTCTTGGGGAATCCCTCGATGACCTTGTAGACGAAGATGACTTGGAGCCTGTAAATGGAGCCCTTCGCGAAGACCTTCGCGAAGCTTCATCTGAGTCCGGTCCTGGGGAGTGACGATTTGACCTTCGCGAAGGCTTTCGCGAAGGCTGTGGGTCCGAAGTCAGAGTCCGGGATGAGAGGATCTTCCTTCGCTAACCTCCTCGTCGAGTGTTGATCATCGGAGTCCGAGGCAGGTGACGATCTAGCTGTCCTTCGCTGAAGGGCGGCCTTCGCGAAGGCTGTACATCTGGGTCCTTCGCAGAGGTGGGCTGTGACGCCCTTCGCGCGAGGTGGCTTCCCAGCGATGACTTGATAGCGGCCGCCTCGCTGACGGGGGTCCCTCTGGGGTGTCGTTTACGTTGGAGCCTTCGCTAAGGCTCGGCCTCTGGGCTGGTTGTCTCTCCAGGCCGTAGAGGTCTTCCATCATCTTCATAATGTGTAGAACCAGGTCGTCTGGGACGGTCTGCGAAGATGTAGATGGTGCCCTCTCTGCGTTGGTAGCGACGGGACCCTCAGGAAGATCGTCAGACATCAGTGTTGGTACATCAGACTGCGTGTAGATCTGCGCTGACGTCACTGTTGCCGCCACCGGTCGTTTCTTGTGGCGTACATCGGGTATGATGATCAGCTGATCATCATACAGGCTTAGTTCTGCAGCAGGGAACAATCTCGGCTGAGAAAGTCCTAGTAGACTTCGCTGGTTTCCCCTGGGAGGTAGACGCTGCCCTGGTGGTACGGAGTCTGCGTTGTGACGAAGTGGAAGCCCTCTTAGTCTTCGGCTGCGACGACGGGATGTCTGGGGATGCAGGACGCTTCTTGGAGATGGCGGACTGCGTCCCACGCCTCTCCTCCGAGGGTAACTCTAGCGGAACACCAGACGGGAGGGGGTCATCCGACAGCAGTTGACTGGCTAGGGTTCCGGCATCGCCATGGCTAGGCTCTGTTTACGTGACCTATCTGCTGCACGTCTCAAGACGCAAAGATAATATTTGTTAAATGCAGAGTTAGACAAATTATTACAGTAACTGCAACGTGAAGAAAATGCACATGGTGCAGTACAGCTAGGGCATATTAAATGCGGATCGGCAGCAGAAAAACGTAACCTACAAACAGTACAGATTTTCATCAACGCAAACTGCTGAACAATCACGGCGTCCCGTGAATAAACAGCAGAAATACGAATAAATATCAATACATAATTGTTGAAGGATACTAGCTAAACCTCTATAGATGACTACAAGAGGTAACTAACTAAGAATAATCAAAGGATATAGTGTGTAGGGAGACACAGGCTCTCTCACATCCTGCTCACTGGGCGAAGAAGGAGAGAGTGAAGCATGAGGGAAGAGGTGGCGCCTTCTTTCCCGCGCATTTGGAAGAGGGAGGCAACTCTTGGTGAGTACTAATTAGTGATTTTTACATTGAAGGGAGCTTCAATTAGGGAGATACAAGTGTTCCACTATGTTCGCAAGAAGAAGACAAGCAAAAGAGCATGAGTCAGGATAAGGAAAAATTATTTAAATTCCATACTATGAACAAATCAAATTCTGAATTAAAAAAAATCTTACTCACCTTTAATGGGCTTCACCTTGTTGATATCTGCATACAGGTCCTGGACTATTTCAGATCTTGTGGACAAAGGGCGTGAAGTTACGTGACTCTTCCACTTTTTCAAGCCAAACTGGAAAACAACATCCCTACATTTAGGATTATGCTTTATCTCAGGTTCCCTGCATTTGGGTGGAAGCAATATCATGTATAACAAAGCTCACAATAAACATTGTAACTGAGTGAGAATATATGTTTACAAAGCTGTTGTGACCAGGTGTGACAGTCGCCATCCATGTTTCACAGACCCTTCAATATGAAAATATCCAGCACGGCAACAGCAGTCACGGGGAATACAAACACTGCTGTTGTTAAGTTCAAAGGATTGCAACTCATACAACACTTAGAACCTTCTCTGGTGACATGACCTATCACGCACTAAGTTTTTAAGTTACAAGTGTTTGATTTCATGAACATTAGATCCAAAGTCAAGCAGTCATAAAGTCTTTTGAATACAGCAAATGACAGGGTTCAATCAAAAACTGCTATCACCCAGTTCTATACTATGGATCTCAGGAGTCTCCAATCTTGGTGTTAGCATTTGCAAAATAGTTTTATAACTCAAAGACAGATCTACTAACATATATTTCATGATACATTAATATCTCATAACAACACCCACAAAACACCTACATTGGGAAAACCTCACTTCTTTTCAACATCAGTCATCCTAGAGAATACTAAGGACCCAGATAGCATTCGGACGTTGGCTCAACTTTGGCAATGTTGGCAAAACCATTGCCAACGTTGGGCCAACATCTGAATGCTATCTGCGGAGGTGGGCAGGATTTACATGGGTAGTATATTTTATTAATGATAATTATTGTTTAATAATTCTTACACATACCAAGAACATCAAAGCCAGACTATACAAGGGATCTGTGGGTATGGACATCTTTTAATGCCATGGATATTTAACAGTTACCTGGACTGATGAAAGGATTTAAACCCAAATCCATGAATCCTAATTTGGTTATCCTCACATAAAGTTTGTTGAGGTACCCCAAACTACCCATTCTTTTAGCTTGACCAAATTTAGGTGCACATAAACGAACTTAAACTTCATTTCTGTCCAGACTCATTTTTGATGTTGTCCATCAATCTTATTACTTCAGTGACATATGATCTTCTGATAATATCACTTTCAGCTCCTGTTACATTACTCCTGGTATGACACTGGTCTCAGAGACCTTGAAATCATTCTGTGGCATCAGAGCATGATAACTTGCACAAAGATGTCAATTTGGTTGATCAACACCCATGCTAAGAGCAGGGATCATGTACTGTCTGTGTCCTGTCCTTCCAAGAGATGTAGCCAGGTTCTTTGCCAAGACCTCTGGTAGAGTTATTATGAATCTTCAGCATATATACGAGTTGGTAGAGTCAAGAGCATGATGTTCAGCCACCTTGGCTACCATTGCAATAGTCATGTTCGTGTTACTAGTCCAGAGCAACTTAGAGATTTCCTTGTCTTAGCAAGAAATTTGACAGTTGACACTCCTGAGTGTAATATGTTCTCCTTTTTAGCACTTCTGAACTTGCTAATCCCATCATTAGCCTAGCTGACCACAACCTGTACCCTGACCATGGTAAGTGCCATGAGTATCTCAACATGGCACTCTGCATGCTCAACATCCGATGGGACTGTTCCTGCAAAGGTGGTTTAATGCTGGACATTCATCAGTTACATTAGTAAATTAAACATTCATATGGCTGTGGAGTATATGAGTCCATCATTGCTGAATCAATGCTGTTCCTGCAATTCTTCTGATTTGGATCCCAGACTTTGAAAACAGATTTGTCTTCTTAACCCTGTCTTGCGTTGGTCATGGTGAGAATGTGCTGATCTGAATCTAAAGGTGCTCAGCTCAGGGCCACAAGGCAGTTAGCAGACAGTACACCATCTAAAATTTGTCTTACTGATAACAGCAAACATTTCAATGTCTCTGTCATGGTAGAAAAGACCTTAGTATACAGGGATTTCAAACAGGATTTCTTGCTTTGAACAAGGATGAATTTTGAAATTTTCATTATTCAAGACATACAATGGAGCTAATTGGTAAACCAAATTTAAAATTTAGGCCAAGGGCTGAAGAACATGAAGTGAACCTCTCTAATTATAGATTTGTGGGTCCATTTCAGAAAAAAATGTGCTCAGTCGGCATGGTAGTGATAAGCAACACAAACACCCTCTGGCACTGCAAGCCATGGTAAATGCACAAGTACAAATGACTCAGTTTCCTAATGGTCATGGCAAAGAACATTCAGTATATGGTGTATATAAGTTCTGATTTAGAACCAGAAGAAAAGATAGAGTCTACTGGAGATAAATGAAGACCTCTCATACAACACTCAACACCTACAATGGCATGATCACTATCTATGAAATAGATGTGGGTGTGGGTTCGAATCCTGGAGGGGACTCAACCCAACAAAAGTACTAGAATCTGTACTTTACAAAGAAAGTGTAATCCCAAATATAACATATGTTACATGATCACTATCTGTCGTCAAGATTATTGTCCTCTTCAAACATGATACAGGCCTGCACTACATTGACAATGCAGCAGTTGGTAGCTGGAGCTTGGTGCAATGGGAATCCACCCTTGAAATTCAGAGTATGGATTGGCTGAAGAAAGATTGCAAGGAGGGAAACAACACATGCAGAATACCACTAAAACTATTTACCAGTTCACTGATTCTGTGTTACTTCTAACTGGACTTTATATTCATTCCTATTTGGTGAATAGAGTATATAGTCCATTATTGTATACAGGCAATGTTTATCCATCCTTGTATGCATACGAAAATAGCACTGCAAAAGTATGCAAAGATCATGCCATGTTAACTGTAGAAAGTTGTTGAGTTAAAGAAATTCATACTTCCACAATTCTAAATACAATTTAGACCTTAGCTTCGATTACATCCAAGTCATCTTACAATCATGCTAACATCGGTTTGTACAAGTGGAGTAGGACAACTGTATGGTGATTGTAAAATTGATTGTAGGGGCCTAAGATCGATTGTAACTAAGATTGTTCTATACAAGAGGGTGATTTCATCTCTTCTTGTTATGGAATATATCAAACCAACAGTTGGCACAGCAGGGCTGAACAATTGTAACCACTGTAACTATAACTTCGAAGCAGGTAAACATTTGATCATATAAGCAAACAAACCCTCACAACTTCTCCAGGTCTGTCAGCTTTCACTACAGAAATCCGTTGCCGTCTCTAGTTATGAAATGGCAATATACCTCAAAGTGTCCAAAACATGAGAGAATTTTTCAGTATTTTGAACTTTCAATTAGACACCGCAGTGTATACTGCTGTCACTTCAAAGTGGAAGTGCAAAATATAAACTAAGTTTACAAAATGAGTGATGGCTCTCTGAAGAGTGAAGGTCAGTGCACATGACTGCACCAGAAGTCCAAATGGATCAGAAATGACTCCTATAGGAGGGAATTGATTTTTGCATACCTACAAGAAGATAATCATCCATTGTAGCAAACATTAATGGGGCAAATAATATCTAATACTGAATAATCAATAAGTGATTTACCAAATAGTTGTTTGAGATTCGGTGAGCTTCAATATCATTCTCAGCATGTGGAACCACCACACAACTGCCTTCAAATGCTGTCAAATCTCTCCTGTGCTCATCTTTGCTTGCCGCATCCGCCTTGCAGGGCTTGTCCTGGCCTTGCAGTGAGCTGTCTGATGTGATGTCCATCGCTGAGTCGTACTGACCAGCTGCAGCTTCACTTTCTCGCTGAGCAAAATGACCATTGGATTCCATTTTGCCTCCGTCGATTTAAACAAGGGAACAACTTTCACTTTCACTTAGAGGCTGAAAGAATTGGCAGCACCTTGAAAACAACAAGATGAAAATTATTAACATCAATACTGATACAACTCGAGAGAATGGAGATAAGGCATGATCTCACAATGTCCCATGATGATGTCAATAGCATATTGTAACAATCACTTACACATTTGTATCACATGAGTAACAGATGGTAACCTCTAATCCATCAATAAATGGATGATAAATGGATAATACCCCATGATGTCAACCTTGCAACATGGCGTGACATAAGTTCCTCAAACTTGAAATGTTAGAGTGAGGTTTAGAATTTTAAAGATCAAAATGTCCATTTCAACAAATCACGATACATGCCAAACTTTAGCTCGAACAGCCATTGTGTCATTTTTGTCAACACGTGGCGTAATTCATTGTAACTTCATTGTAAGTAACAGCTTCATAATTCACATTTCCATCAATCTTGACTCTAGTCATAACATAGAAGATAAAGAACTGAAAAATCTTCTCAGTGAAGCACGCTATGACTGAAGCAGAGAATGACCTCACCTCAACTGTAGCATACCTTTGATGATAGAAAAAAACACATCTATCTGCAATTACTACTAATTTAAATGTGTCAATGCCTATTTGACACATTGATTGTTACAATGGTGACCTGAGTGGCTTTGTACAAGCTCAATGCAAGAATCTACATTTGTCTGCTTGTGTATTACTGAGCCCCTATATCAGTGTATTATACACACATCAAAGCGATATACCCAAATGATTGGGGTTTTTTGTATTCCACTACATTGTGTAGGATTGTACTTTTTCTTATGAATAAATCCCTAAATTATGTGGAATTATGGATTGTCAGTGCACTCTGCATACCCCTAGGGAATGAATGTCACTTTTGGGAACCCTTACATCTATGCATCTCTGATACATTCAGGATTGTATCAACCAACAAACAGGGACTCAGCTGGTCTCACTCCCACAGAGCTAGTGTTCAACGGCCTTAGATGGTGGAACCATCCCAATGTCATCCACTGAATCTCAATCCAGATGCCTCAACTGGACTGTCACTGGTCTCTACATGTAAGGAATTCCTCCAATCAACTCTGTGATCGTAACCCATATCAGTAGGCTCTGGGTAACTCATTTTCAAGATCCTATGGGCCTCACAAGAGGTTATTAAGATTTAGCTTAGAGTCTCAGGAGCAACATTGCATCCAAACACAGAGGTGGGGCGGTGGGGAGCTAAGTGGTTAAAGTGTTCGCTGGTCACGCAGAAGACCCGTGTTCGATTCCCCAAATGGGTACAATATGTGAAGCCCCCTTCTGGTGTCCCCTGCCGTGATGTTGCTGGAATATTGCTAAAAGTGCCACAAAACCAAACTCACTCACTCACTCACTCACTCCAAACACATTCTGGGAAAGATCAAGGTCCAATGAACTATCACATAATATAAGATACTGACTACGGACTGGAGACCACAACCTGAAGCTTTCAGGTAGATACCTCCTGCTTTGGTTCAACTGATCAGATCGGTCCTATTCACACACAACAGATCTGACTTAATGAGGTTTTAAATTATTTATATTCTAATGCATAATCAAAATTTCAATGTCTACAACTGGAAATATCATTTTGCAACGTATTAACAAGTTAATTTCAGTATCACAGCCGAATACCTCAAGGAAACTCAAGTTTTGCTTTGTCTCAGGTTGCGAACAAACAGTTCTGTAAGATGTTTTAAGGTTGTCCTCACTACTGATCCTTAATCTTACTGTACAAATGTATCTGTAGTTTGGGACTGTGTAATGAACAGCTGATTATCAGAGTCATCCATCATTCTCTTTTCACCTTGTCTGACTGTTTGACTCTTTGGCAGTTCTTCTGTGCCAGCACCAATGCGAATTGGTCATATGAATAATTTGACACTGATTTCATACACTTTTTAAGCTTCTTCGCTCCTCGGTCTTACTTCCCCTACTAAAAGCCTGCTAATACCCTCTTGCCACACTCTTACTTTACCTACCATAACCCTGCCAATACCCTCTTGCCTCAGTCTTACTTCCTCTACCTTAACCCTGCCGATACCCTCTTGTCATGGTCTTACTTCCTCTACCATAACCCTGCCACTACCCTCTTGCCTTGGTCTTACTTACTCTACCTTAACCCTACCACTACGCTCTTGCCTCGGTCTTACTTCCACTACCTTAACCCTGCCGATACCCTCTTGCCTCAGTCTTACTTCCTCTATTTTAACCCTGCTGATACCCTCTTGTCATGGTCTTACTTCCTCTACCATAATCCTACTAATACCCTTCCTCTTGCCTCGGTCTTATTTCCTCTACCTAAACCCTGCCAATTACCTCCCTCTTGCCTCGGTCTTACTTCCTCTACCATAACCCTGCTGATACCCTCCCTCTTGTCTCAGTCCTACTTCCTCTACCTTAACCCTGCCACTACCCTCTTGCCTCGGTGTTACTTCCTCTACCTTAACCCTGCTGATACCCTCCCTCTTGCCTCGGTCTTACTTCCTCTACCGTAACCCTGCCGCTACCCTCTTGCCTCGGTCTTACTTCCTCTACCGTAACCCTGCCGCTACCCTCTTGCCTCGGTCTTACCTCCTCAACCTTAACCCTGCTGATACCCTCCCTCTTGCCTCGGTCCTACTTCCTCTACCGTAACCCTGCCGCTACCCTCTTGCCATGGTCTTACTTTCTCTACTATAACCTCAGAGTTGTGTCTTATCCCTCACTAAAAGACAGTTGGCCTTCATTGTACTCTAGGGTTGTTGGGGTAGCCTAGTGGTTAAAGCTAAGCTCGTCACACCAAAGACCTGGGTTCAATTCCCCACATGGGCACAATGTGTGAAGCCCATTTCTGCTGTACCCCACCGTGATATTGCTGGAATATTGCTAAAAGCAGCCTAAAACTAAACTCACTCACTCATTGTACTCTGACACTGACTTATGTCATTGAAATTGTGTGAATTAAATATAATGTCATGTTTGAATCATGACTTGTAAGGTGTACCTGTCAGTCAACAGAGTGCACAGTGGATGAGAAAGCAACCTCATCAAAGCCATGAGATTATCTGCCCTTGACATCTATGTAAGGTCTACGTAAGTTGTTCCACAAACCTACGTTAACAGTTGTTGTAGGAGTAGGAGATATATTTTTAGAGCAGGATATGTAACAATTCATGATAGTAATTACACAATTTATTGTCTGATCCTGCATATGCTGTGCTACCTTCACAAGGCTAAAGACTAAGAAATTGTACACAGGATGTTGTGTTCTATGATTTATGGATATTAAGGCAATTCTGTGAAACTAATGTGGGTTAGACACTGAATACTGAATTCTGACATGCATATCATGGTTTTATTGACAGTCTATAAACCACATAAACAAAATAAGGAGAAACATTATTGATGAAGAACTTTAGGTGATGAAATACCTAAATAAAGAAGTTGTTCAGCCATAAAGTTTCTCCTTATTCACTATATTTTATATATGCTACTCAAAGAAGACACATAATGAATTCTTTTATAAGTGTTTGTTGCATGATCAATGTTCAATATGCAGAAACACACAACAAATCATTGGTATCTTGAGGTAAATGAGACTTGCTACACAAAGCATGACAGTGCAAAACTGTGCATGGCTAGCATTCACTGGACCTGTACAGCCCATTACAGGCAAAAAAACTGGAATTATGGTCCAGAATATCGCAATGGTATAAAACAGCCATGCTAATCATATGTTGTTTTGGTTTTCTGCATGTTTTATCAATTCTTTCCAAGCTGGTGCCTGTCTTGGTATTAGAGAAAGATTCTCTTTCATGTCCTTATAAGTGATTTGGGGATAAATATGGAAGTGAAATTTGTTGGATAACAGTTGTTTATGCAGTAATACCTGATACCAGTCTACGAACTAATTTTGCAATTGTTTCAAGGCATGTCTTTTGTTGTACATATACACATAAGTGCAATACTTCAGTAAACCACACGTTTTGTGATATACTGTCTCAAAACTGTATCAAATTTTGCTGGCCTTATTAACATCATGGACCTTGGTGTCACTTGGACAGAAATGATTGTAGAGATGGTAGGATATATAAACTGAAAGGTTTTAATAATGTTTTTGATCACTAAATGTTTGAAACAGTCGTGTCAAGAAGCTAGAAAATACCATATCATTTGACAATACAAGTACCTTGTTTGATATATCTTATATTAATATGGTTCCACTTGAAAAGTACAAATCAGGCTGCTCTCAAGTGAGGTAAGGTGGCCTCCAGAAGGGCTACTACAATTAGTATTCTGGATTCTGGATTCCTAGCAAGCACATAATGACAGTGGCAAGTCACTAAAGCGAACGACAGCCTAAAAACACACACAAATGTGGCATAAATTTAGTGAGAACCTCCAACAAATCCTCTTCAGGGCTCACTCAAAATCCAAACCGCTTTGTAAACAAACACGCATATTCATAATAAGAAGAGACTGGCCTTACACAAGCTTTTAGACGCGCTCTTTACGATGTTTTACATTGTTACATATATTTCTTCCACAACTGCGACAGTAACATTTATGACAGTACATATTTAGATATCAAACTGGTTGCATCGTTTGCTCCCTGTCGGCCTCGATGACAGCACATGGAGCCGTACAACCTACGAAAACAAAGTATCGCTACGCAAATCGAAATAGTGTTACATGTTTTAGGATATTTTCTCAGTGAAACTAAGCCATTCTATCAAAGATGTTTAATTAGATGTTTAGGCTCGTCCAAAATAAAAGAGTTAAGAAATATGTACATTATATTGAATGGACGGTGCAAGATGTGTACTATGCTGGCTGGCCGCATGGAACTCTGGGTAGGAGATTGGGAGAAAAGGTGTAAATTTCCACAGAAATCAGGGGTTTTTTTACATGAAATATTACAAAATGTAAAATAAAATCTGCCTGCCTGACTCATATTTTTTTTAAAAGAGTGATGAGAAACAAGAATATTTTTTCTATGTGGCCTTAACAAGTCAAATTAACATTCAGTCAAACACTTTACAAAACATGATAAGAGCGACCTGCATCATTATTCAAAATTCATCTTTTCACTAGATCTAATAAACTGACATGATTCATGCGTATTTCGTTCAGGATTTTCTGTGACATCAGAAGTGCAAAAAAATGAACTAAAATATTCTTTTCTTTTTCATACATTTTGTAATAAATTATCCACCAAAATTCGTGCTGGATACGTATTTGACCTCGGCCACAAGCCTCGGTAAACCTGAGTTACCTGAAGAAGTTTTTATTCATAAAAAGTGTCATTGCTCTCATGAATGGTTAGCAACTGATAAAATTCAACACGTTTCGTAACATCTGCATCCCCTTCATCCTGACACTCTCTATTTCCGTATATCCAAGCTACATTCTGCAGTTATGCGTAAATTTAAACAGGTGCAGAATGCCAGAAAACACTGTATTCAAGCCCTGTTGATAATAAATATCACAAATAGCGTTATCGATTGGCCTATCATTGTTGTTGCACTGTTACAGATATCTTTCGAAGACAGTGAACACATCGAAGCTGGCGTATCCAATGCCAAGTCAAACAGTTTCAAACTTACTGACACTGCCGAGTCATAGCTACCTTGTTGATGTCAACATTCGTGCATGTGATCTTCGGTCATGTGATATTAAGGGGGAGTAACTCTATCCCGACTAACTGGTCGCTTCTGTTTTTAACACTCATGCAGGATTTCCAATAGAAAGGGTTCGAAGCTCGTTTTCCTGAACTGTGCGGAATACTCATTCTGCGTTCGAGTAATTGTGGGACATATACTAAGGGGGAAAAGTTCCTGTTCGCCATAAGAATTAGATAAAATGCTGGGAGTCTCAGAATCAAGCATGATAATCACAAAAACAAATTAATACTTCGTTTTGAATATAATATTAGATTCAACAGCCCGGGAACAGTCGCTATACCATGTCGATGCATCGTTAGTTGTCATTAACTTTTCCAAGGATAAAGAGCAACAAAATGGAAACAAATATGAAGACTACCTCAATGAATTATCACTTCGTTCCTCAGTGATGGCTGCACACTTATCTACTGTGCAACCTAGTTAAATTGCCTGTGGTAAGGTTCCGGAATATAAGTGAGTGAGTGAGTGTGTGAGTTAAGATTTAAAGTCACATCGGCAATATTTCAGCCATATCGTGACTAAAAACAAGTAATAATTCTAGAATACATAAAGGTAATTCTTTTAAATAACTGTCAAGGAAGTAAAACCAACTAGAACATCACAGATATGAATATAAAGCTAGTATGTAACTCTAAAACAGCGTCATTTCAGAAGACAATACAATATAAAAACAGGCCACATATTGCCAACAACTGAAGGTAGATCACCATTCTAGGGACCATGGGGACTTACAGTACATCCTGCATGGACCCTAGGTGGGTTTACACCATCTCTTCAGACGTCAGCAAGTATTGACAATCTAGCCATAAAGTAAAATGACATATATACTGCGGTTAAAAAAGTAATGAGTATAAATTTACTTTGAATGTTTTAGGGACTCATATTAGACTGTTCCTTGCATTATATTAATTATGTACAATGCATTTCTTTGATTGGCATACTAGACGTTGGCACTCTACATGTACAATGCAGATCACTTTATCTCAGAGTTGTAGTTACTTTTGTCGGCTTCAACTATTAAACAGCTTTTGCTTTTAGTATCTAAAAGGATAAATGGATCACATTGTCGTGATGGTTAAATTACTTTTGTTATCTAATATTCTAATCCGTGGATCCGAAATGAAGTTCATTTGAAACACACTTGCTAGCTTGGCTAGCTGCATGGGAAGAAAAACTACCGAGAGGCGCAAGTCTCCTCTGATGTGGTCGCTGCTGTCGCCCCTTTAACGCAGTATCGGCGAGGCACAATACGGACTCCCCCACCAAACAAGCACAGCATGGAGCAGAAGGGAGCAAATAAACAAATAAACAGAATAGACACTTTCCCGCAAGTCGGCGCTTCAAGTTGAAATAGGGAACTATACATGTGAGCAAAAGTCACTGCACAAGGCTTGTTTACATCATTTTCAATCATCTATTTAATCGTGTCCCCTCTCCAACAATTAATTTTATTGACAGAACACACAGATACTCTTTGCTGGATTAACACCTCACTTGGAGCAAACATACAGGATATGTTGAAGACCTGCCTTAGAAACAGACCTGAACCTATTGCATCTAACTTGAGGCACATCTTTTGTTTTGACAAAAGACATTCAACAAATCACTAACCAGATCACAATTTGATAATGGTTGTGATACCTCTTATAAAAAGCATTGCGTTTAGCCGCCTAGAGTCAGAGACCATATAATATATTTATAACATGGTTTCTGCTGGAATACAGTAACAATCCTAATGCTAGCCAGTGGTGCAGTAACAGCTACCTCAGTAGAAGCCCTACAATTGGACACTGAGACCAGAGCAGGCAAAAGCAAACCCTTTGATGAAAACAATAGCCCAGACAAATGAGATCAAGTGCCAACTCGGAAGATTCATTCATTAAAGCCGTAGGAGATATTAGGATGTGTACTGATCCAAAGTGGTAAATGTGGTGAATCCTGTCAATAACATTCCTGGTGTGCGCGTGTGTGCGCGCGTGTGCCTGTGTGTGTGTTTATTATTTTTATGCAATATCTATTGATATACTCAACCGAATGATCAACATGACACTTGCTAAATCGAATCCAACAATGGAAGTATTGTGCGCACAACGAAGACGCTTCGCTAAAAGATCAAAGGCACCGACAGTATGTTATCTTACGATAAAGCACAACGCAGATGATAAAGTCACATTTTGCATTACGTCACACTGTATTGACGTCACTAGGACGTTCTCTGTCATGTATCATAACTCAAACGTACCCTTGGTAGCGAATATAACATGATCTATAACATTCTCGGACGCAAGGGTCCACGTGCTACAATAATAGTTCAGGGTAAAATTGTACTTTATAACACTATACATGGGGGTAGAGCGAACTGTATTTCCTAAATAGAACACATCGGTAAAAAGTATAGCGACTCCCTAACTATTTCACACTATATATAACATATAATATGTTGCCATTAACCTTAGCAAAGGGACATATCCAAACTTTGATGTAACTAACTATCCGGATAAACTGTAGTAGATGTAGTTTATTCAGAAAATAGACATGGCAAGAAAAAAGACTCATTTTATAGAGATCATAACTGTGGTCGTATGACGATAATAAGTATCAATAACCGAATACAGTGTCAATATCTGGTGTAACCTTCGCCAAATGACCCTCCCCCTCACCGACTGCATATGACGTTGAATTTGACGTTCATGTATCGTGTTCCATTCTGGAATCGAATGATGGAGGGCTTGTTCCAATACACTACGAGTTTCTACTGGACTGATGATGTCCCATGCATGCTCTTTGGGATTGTGATCTGGACTCTCAATCGGGCGAAGGTAGAGCTGCTACTGCTTTTTGACTTAAGAAATCTCAATTGGCACGTGAACGATGTGACCTGATATTGTCGTCCATGAAGACTGGTCTTGTGTTCAGAAAATTTTATAATTGACAATTTTTATTTCCTGTTTCCCTTGTTGCGGTAAAAGGCAACAGAGCCATGGGACTCTAGGGCCTTTTGCAAGAAAACTTTGACAACAGAAACACGGGAGTTTTTTCAAACAAAGCACAAAACAATAACACAAAACACCACAACCCATTCACTTACCAATCACACTTACAAGTTTCAAATAATTACAGTAAATTTGTTTAAGTTCAAGTTCATTCAACCTATATTTTTTTCTTCAATAGGGAACAAGAAGAAAGAATTCAGAAAGTCATTCAAAATTTGCAAAATCATGATATAACATCCATTTTTTTATCAAACTTATCTTGTTCACTTTTACCGAAGGATATATTCTTTTCAATAAAGTACCTATCTTGTAAATAATGTCTAAAATGTTTAAAACTAAGACTAGTTTTTAATACCTTGCATATATATATGAAGAATTTAGCTAACAACAATATTAAATCAAACACATCATCAGTATATTTGTTTTCATTCCAAACACAGTAAGTTGCAGGTCAAATTTCATGTTGTGAACATGTTGACATTTATCATTCAATAATTCTAGAAAACATTTCCCAAAAGCTTGCACATGTTCACAATACCAAAACAAGTGGCAGATTGTTTCAACCTCACATTGACAAAAGGTACATAAGTTGCTTTCAGCTAATTTAATCTTAAATTAACATGAATTAGTTCATAGAACACAATGTATAATCCTGAACTGAAACCATTGAAGATTAGTATCCCCAGTAGTCTTTAAAGGTTTTAAAAATATTTTTTTCCCATTCAAGTTCAGCAAACATACACTCCTCCCACACAGTCTGGAATTTTAAGTTAACATTAGGTGCAATTAAAACATACTAATAATACTTGGCTCTCCTCTCAACAGACATCAGTTTTCGATTGACTGTATTAATATCTAACAGCTCAAAAGAAGTAGGTTTCATTATCTTTAAGTTAGTTTGATAACTTTTAATGGTCATGATAAGACCATTATAATGGAGAAGATTTATGTCAAGTTCAAAAGTGTTCTGAAATTCCTCGAGAGTACGATATGTTCCGTCTAAATTGATAAAATCACGAATCTGACTAACACCTCTCTCAAACCAAGAAGAACAGAAAGTTGCCTCTTTACCAATTTTTAAGTGCTTGTTATAATAGATTGGTTCTGTGATGAATTCATCAAATGAACATGGTTGAATCTTATGTGCAATCTTGTCGAAAGCAGAAATACAATCAAGCCAAAATCCCTTCTTAATATCTTTGGAGAGTGTACCTGAACTTTTATTTACCAAGTACAGCTAGATTTTGCATTTTGCTAGAGGAAGAATAGCACAAACACCTCCATTGGGATTCATCACCAATATCCAACAACTTTCTCATCCAAGACAATTTTAAAGAACTAACATAAGAAGAAGCTTCAACAGGCTTACAAGCAACCACTCTTTTGATCTTATCAGGTTTACCACTCCAGAGAAATTTAAATAGTACTTTGTTTGATTCATGCAGGAAGTTCCCTTAGGGGTCTGGGAGAGTAAGAAAGAGATACTTCAATTTTGGAATTAGTAATGATTTTATAATAGCAATTCTACCAAGCGGTGTAATTATTCTTTTCATCCACCTGTTGATAATTAACTGAATCTCAAATAATTTATTTTCAAAATTCTTTCTAGCCATAACATTTAAATCTGTTTAAAATATTACACCTAGGAGCTTGAAATATTCCGGATTCCACTGTATGTTTAAACAAGGTAAGTATCTGATTGAACTATTCTTTCTTGCCCCTATCCATATCATCTGAGACTTATCATAATCTTAAGACCTGAGATATCGGCAAAAAAGTTCAAAGTGTCAACTGTAGCTTCCAAAGATTTCTGAGAACCATCTAGAATACACTGTTTATCATCTCCATATTGCGTCAACAGATACTCCTCCTCATTAACGGTAATTCCTTTAATGTCATTATTCTTTCTTATACGACCACCTGGGATCTCGACACAAAGGATGGCGATGTACGGAGAAAGAAGATCTCCCTGTCCACAACCTCGTTCAGCAACAAAC